ACGCGGGATAGCGCGAGCAGACCCAGGAGCATGAGGAATTTCTTGGGTAAATCGCCCTTGAAAAAGTCGCCGATGTCGATCTTGCTGTCCTCCACTGGAAAGGTGGTGCGGGTCAGGTCAGGGGAGAGGTGGAAACGGGAGGCAGAGGGGGGAGAAAGAGGAGGGAGAACAAGGCAGAGAAAGGCAGAGAGATATAGTGGGAAGGCGGGGAGGAGGGATGAGGGAGAGATTGAAGCAGGGGAGGAAAAAAGGAAGAGGGAATTCGGTTTAGTCTTTTTTTTTCCCTCGCCCCCCCAAGTCCCCCAAGTCCCCCCCCCCCTCCCCCACCCGGGGGGGATGGAGGGTGGGGGGAGAGGGGACAGGGGGGACGGGAGGGTGGGAGGAAAGGAATAACATTCTGATGTATGTATTGAAATAATATCACAATCAAGAATCACGGAATATTCTCTCAAATTCAAGCTAGAATCAGCCAACCAGGCTTTGTGACTGTGACTGTAATGAAGGTGGCTGTAATGAAGGCGACTCGACCCGGGGGTTACTGCAATGAAGGCGACTCGACTCGGGGGTGACTGCAATGAAGGCGACTCGACTCGGGGGTGACTGCAATGAAGGCGACTCGACTCGGGGGTGACTGTAATGAATGCGACTCGACCCGGGATTGACTGTAATGAAGGCGACTCGACTCGCGGTCGGCGTGACTATAACCAAGTTCAGGGCGGCATGGCCAGCCTCCTGTCAAGAGAGCATGCCACGTCAGCACTTGTTGCCACGTCAGCAGGACCTGGGTTGAGGTAGGGCCTGGGTCCGGTTCGGGTATGGGCTGCCTCACGTCTCTGCCCCGGGCCTCACGTCTCTGCCCCGGGCCTCACATCTCTGCCCGGGCCTCACGTCTCTGCCCCGGGCCTCACATCTCTGCCCCGGGCCTCACATCTCTGCCCCGGGCCTCACGTCTCTGCCCCGGGCCTCACGTCTCTGCCCCGGGCCTCACATCTCTGCCCCGGGCCTCACATCTCTGCCCCGGGCCTCACATCTCTGCCCCGGGCCTCACATCTCTGCCCCGGGCCTCAATACCTACCATAACCAACAAACACCACCTAACATTATCTACCACAGAAACATAACATAATCCTAAACAGCACCTAAGTAAGTTTGATGCATTTTTTGTGAACATTTCTAGACATTACTACGGTACGGGGAATCTTTATCGCACCTGCAATTCGTAGTGGCACCTGTGCAAGGTCCACGGGGGGGAGGGGCGGGAGAGAGAGGAGGACGAGAGGAGAAGAGGAAATGCGGGGTCAGGGGAGGTGCTATGAGGGGCAGGGCAGGGGGGTGATGATAGCAGCAAGCACTGCAATAAGAGCCGCAGCATAAGCAAGCAAAGCTCATTCCCCCCACCTCCATGCGCATTTCCCCCCTGCACCGCACACCACCCCACCCCACCCAACACACTCACCATGTCGTGGCCGGCAGTTGGTGAGCTCGATGGAGGTGGCGACTCCCTCCCCCGCCATCTCCCTGACATGGCGGAACGGACGGCACGAGCAAACGGGGCAAAGCATGGGCAAAGGGGGCAACGCATGAGCAGAGGGGGAAAGGCATGGGCAGGGAGAACGGCATGAGCAGAGGGGGAAAGGCATGGGCAGGGAGAACGGCATGAGCAGAGGGGGAAAGGCATGCGCAAGGCGGGAATGCATGGGAAAGGCGGAAAGGCATGCGCAAGGCGGAAAGGCATGCGCAAGGCGGAAAGGCATGCGCAAGGCGGAAAGGCATGGGGAAGGCGGAAAGGCATGGGGAAGCGGCGGAAATGCATGGGCAAGGCGGAAAGGCAGGGGAAAGGCGGACATGCATGCGCAAGGCGGAAAGGCATGGGAAAAGGGGGGAACGGCGCGCTGACCTGCTCCGCGTGCAGCATGCTCGCCGGTGCTGTCCGCGCGGCCAGCAGCGCGCGCGGCGCTACCTGGTGAGCGCGGTGGGCGCCGTCACGGCGGGTGGAGCGGCGGCGGGTAGGCGCTGCTACGCTGGAGCCTGTCGTCCCTGCACAGCAAGGGGGAGTGAGAGGGCAGAGGGAGAGCGGAGGAAGGGACGGAGGGAGAGAGCAACGAGAAACCAAGAAAGGCAAGAGGGGGTTGAGGACTGAAAGTGAACTGTTTGGAAAGAATGCTCACGTTAGGGAGAGAAATGGGAAACATAACGGGAATTCCAGGGAGAAAACAGATAAAGAGGACAAAACGAAATAAAGTAATAAAACAGTAGAACAAAACGGATTTTGCATGGGCGCATGGCACACATGCAGTCGCATGGCGCACATGCAATCGCGTGCTCATGAAATTTCAGCGTGCGCACATGCAGTGACAGTGCGCACCTGCTGGAGGGAGGAAATAAGGGCCCTCCCACAGTGCGGGAGGGATCCGCCGCCTATGTTGAATCCCATGGGGGAAGGAATTCGGAAGTCTAACGTGGGGAAGGCATTTAAGACCACTGATCGAGATGGGAGAGAAGGAATGGAGGATCGGGAGAGCGGAAAAAACGGAGACTAACGTGGGAGACGAAATTAGGAGATGAGCTGCGACCGATATGGGAGAGAATGAGTGATCGGGGAGAGCGGAGCTATGGAAAGTAACGTGGAAAATAATGGAGTTGAGATCGAAATGGGATGGGGATGGGATTGGGAGAGAAGCAAGGAAGGAGAGTGGAGGAGATCGGGAGAGGAGTTGGAGAGGAGAGCAAGCAAGCAGATTTTGTTGACTCTCGCCACTGTAGCGCGAAATGACCAGCACCCTCGCCTCGGTCACCAAAACAGAAACGAATTGCAACTCTTCATACAAAAAAGGAAACACTCCTCACCCTGGAAACATGTAAACCTAAACGAAAATAAGAGTGTACACCTAGAATCCACCTGCCCTGCACCAAAAAAACGATGGTGGGGACCAAATCTCAGAATTCACACACATTGCAAACCAAGTCGCGGAGCACAACACAAGCCTCCAATCCAAATTCAAGTCGCTAAACACAAGTCGCGAAACAATCCCACCGGTCCAATCAAAACAGCACAAGCATGCCAGCTAGCGCGGTCTGGGAAGTGACAGAAACGAGACTCGGATGATGTACAATCCAATATACAGTCATTGGTGCAGCGCTGGCGCGCTGCGCGATCCGCCTGGTGCCTGCAAACTTACTTTCTTATCAATCTATTCCCATGTACATGGGAATAGATTGATAAGAATGTAAGTTTGCATTTTCCTGGTTTATGTTTTCCTTCACGATGCATGCATTGTTATAAGCAAATATTCCAGAAAACAAGTGGGCTGACCCTGGTGTTGGTTGGTACATCTGCAGCAAAATCTTAGGCTAGCTAGTTCCTAGCTACCTATTTTTTAGCTATCTATTTGCTAGCTACCTAATTCCTGGCTAGTTATAGCCTGGCCTTGCCAATTCCTAGCTAGCCAATTTCTGGCCTGCCAACTCCTTGCTAACTCCTAGCCAATTCCTAGCTTGCTATTTCCTAGCTAGTAGCTAGTTAATTCCTAGCCAGCCCAATCATAGCTGGTAACTAGTTTCCTAGCCAGCCACATCCTAGCAAGCTAATCCCTAGCTAGCTGCCGTAATTCCTAGTCAACCAAATCCTAACTACCGTAGCTAATTTGTAGATAGTTTACTACTCCTGGCTAACCTTACGAGAAAGGGGCATCTGCGAGGGCGTGTTCCGGCTTCGTCTGTACGCGGTAACACGATTGGATGTATCAGGGATGTGGTCAGGAAGATGCTTCCTTGTGTCACACTCATTGTGGAGTTGATGAAAAGACTGACGTTGCAGATAATGACACCATCTCAAATCGACACGCAACAGGGCCTGGCCTGCAATCGTGCCAACCAAGCGATGGCCCGATACAAACACAGAGACTCAAAAGCTTGAAGCAATCTAATTCAGTAACGCACCACTCCATGCGCTTGACATTGATGTCATTCAACACAGAAACCTTGGTCGTCACGATGCAAGTGTGTAACACTCTATCATGCAGTTGCTTGAACCTAGTTTCACATCAACACGAAGCCACAAGGTACTTTATACGATACCTTGTGCACACCGATGCTGCTCTACTCTAAATATCCAACCTCAGCATTCACCTAGGAGGCGGAATCCCTCCACCACCCGCACTGATATCATCCAGCTCAATCGTCCTATACTTCTGCGAAACCAGCTCCGCCTGCACCTTCCTGGCTGTATCGGTAGCGCATCCGACTAAAATGAGGATGGACGTTCCAGCAAACCCCCGGAAGGCCGTGAGGTGAGTGATTCCTTCCACAAGAGCCGGCGCTGCTGCCATCGTGCCGAGAAACGCCGACCCGAGCACCGAAATGCGGGTGAGGACCTGGTGTTAAGTAGGTAAAGAAGCAAGAGTAATGGGGAGAAAGGGAGAAGGGGATGGGAGGGGGAAGGAGAAGCCAAAGAGGGAAAGGAAATCACGAGTGGGGAAAGGGCTGAGAGGGAGCCGGCCAGGAGTCATCATGGAGTGTTTGCGAGGCCAAACGGAGCTTGGTGATGAGCATGGCTGCTGCCTTGCCAGGCCTGGTGTAGGCCACAGACGCGCCCTCTGCTCTTGAGAAAGTGGGCCGTATGCCGGATTTACGAACGTACAATGAGGTGACAAGGGCGACTCACCTTGGTGATGAGTGGCGGCTGTTGCTTTGCCGGGCCTCGTGTTGGGTACGGACGCACCCTGCCTCTTGAGCTGGTCGCTGACATCAGCAGGGTCGAGTTGCAGGAAGGTGTAGAAGTAGTTGAAGAAGGCAATGAGTGCCACGTTGGCGGGGGAGGTAGAAGAAACCTGGGGATTAGCGGAACACATGGGGAGAGAGGATGTTGATTGAAGATGCAAGGAGAAAGAAAGGAGAAGGAGCGAGTAAGTGAGTTGCAGGAAGGTGTAGAAGTAGTTGAGAAAGGCGAACAGTGCCACGTTAGCAGGCAGATAGAAGAAACCTGGAGATTAGCGGAACACATGGGGAGAGAGGATGTTGATTGAAGATGCAAGGAGAAAGAAAGGAGAAGGAGCGAGTAAGTGAGTTGCAGGAAGGTGTGGAAGTAGTTGAGAAAGGCGAACAGTGCCACGTTAGCAGGCAGATAGAAGAAACCTGGAGATTAGCGGAACACATGGGGAGAGAGGATGTTGATTGAAGATGCAAGGAGAAAGAAAGGAGAAGGAGCGAGTAAGTGAGTGCAGGAAGGTGTGGAAGTAGTTGAAGAATGCAATCAGCTGCCACGTTGGCGGGGAGGTAGAAGAAACCTGGGGATGAGTGGAGCAGGGAAATCAATAGGGAGTGGAGGAGGGAGAGGAGCAGGGAGAGGAGTGAGTGAGTTGCAGGAAGGTGTAGAAGTAGTTGAAGAATGCGATGAGTGCCACGTTGGCAGGCGGGTAGAGGGAGACCTGGGGATTAGTAGGAACACATGGTGGTAAAAAGAGTGAGAGGATGACGGAAAAGCAGAGTGATTAAAATTTGCAGTAAGGTGTAGAAGTAGTTGAAGAAAGCGATCAGTGCCACGTTGGCAGGCAGATAGATCGGGTTAAAAGCGAGCTATGGAGTAGGGAGCAGGAGCAGTCTGGTTACCCTATTACTGACCTGTGGTTACCATGTAACATACCTCCAGGGTAGAGAGCTGTAGCAGCGGACTGGAAAGCAGCACTTCCGGTAAAGCGAGCGATGAGTAGGGAGCAGCGAGGAGCGAGGAAGAGAAGATAATTGGCATGACTCCCGTTGAGTTGACCTGCAGAGGGGGGAAGAGGGAAGAGACGGGTAGAGGGTAGATGAGAAAGATGTTGATCCGAGAGGGTGGAACATAAGAAAGACGAAGGAGAGAGAGGAGAAGACGATTGGCATGACTTTCGTTGAGTTGACCTGCGGGGGGGATTAGAGGTTGGATAAGAGAAAAGAGGTGGTTGTGAGAGAGGGGTGGTTGGAGAGAATGGGTAGATGAGAGAGAAAGGAACGGCAGATAATTGAGAAGAGAGGAGTAAACGTGAGGCATGGCTTCTGTTGAGTTGAGTGTGGGGGTTGGTGGGGGGGGGGGGGGGGGGGAAGGGTGAGTGAGTGAGGGGTCGATGCAAGAAAAAGAAAGCGGTGTGTTACATTCGCGGGAGAGATGCTACCTTCGAGGGGGAGGTGTTACCTTCCAGGGGGAGGTGCTGCCTTTCAGGGGGAGGTGTAACCTTCCAGAGGGAGGTGCTGCCTTTCAGGGGGAGGTGTTGCCTTTCAGGGGGAGGTGTTACCTTGAATGGCAGGTACGCATTCCGCGTCTTGATGTTGTACCGAGACGCATAGTTGATTGGAATACGCCGCTCTGCCTCCTGCTCGGTGGAAGGGGATTAAGTTGTGGTGGTGGTGGGGGTGGTGGGGGTGGTAGGGGGAGTGGGAAGAACGGAGAAAAGAGGACGGGGAATTTGAATTGGTTGTATCGAGACACATAGTTGACGGGAATACGCCGCTCTGCTTCCTGCTTGGAGGGAAAGGGGTAGTGGATAGGGTAGAGGGTGGGAGGGGAAGGGGAGGAGAGGGTAGAAAGAGAGTAGAGGGTGAGATGGTGCATGGGGTTGGTTGTACCGTTATGCGTAGTTGATGGGGATGTGACACTCTGCCTCCTACTCGGAGGGAAGGGGGAAGTTGGAGCTGGTTGTAGCGGCACATAGTTGTTGGGAATGCGACTCCCCGCCTTCTGCTCAGAAGGCTGGCAGGCAGGCCGGCAGAGAGGCATAGAGCAGGAACCCACCTGCACCCATTCACACCCACCTGCACGTAGACAATCCCAAGGACGAGCAGCAGGAAGGAGGCCAGCAGCAGCGCCTCGCCGGGTAAACGTTCCCCTGCTCAGACGCCTCTGTGATGCAGGTAGGCAGGCAGGAGGAATATAGCACACCCATCCACACCCATCTGTACCGCACCCACCTGCACGTAGACGATGCCGAACACGAGCAGCAGGAAGGACGCGAGCAGCAGCGCCTCTCCGGTCACATTCCCTTGTTCAGAAGCCTCTGTGATCGTCCTCCAATGGACGCCGGCAGGTAGGAAACGATATTGGTGAAGATGAGCAGAGAGGTGCCGTTGCCGAGCTTGAGATCAGTGATCTTGTCTCCCAGCAGGATGACTGCCACGGATCCCAAAGTGAGGCCCGAGACGGCGGAGACTGCCCAGGCGACCGACGGGTCGTAGGCGTACTGCTGTAGATATGCCACCTGTCCGATAGCCTGGGAGGAGGGCGAGAGGCAGGGAGGAAGGGAGAGCTTGAGGTGGGTGATCCTGTCTCCCAGGAGGATGACTGCCACGGATCCGACAGTCAGGCCTGAGACGGCTGAGACTGCCCAGGCGACCGAGGGGTCGTAGGCGTACTGCTGCAGATATGCCACCTGTCCGATTGCCTGGGAGGAGGGCGAGAGGCAGGGAGGAAGGGAGAGCTTGAGGTGGGTGATCCTGTCTCCCAGGAGGATGACTGCCACGGATCCGACAGTCAGGCCTGAGACGGCTGAGACTGCCCAAGCGACTGATGGGTCGTATGCGTACTGCTGCAGGTAGGCCACTTGGCCGATAGCCTGGGGAGTGGAGGGGGGCAGGGAGAAGGAGAGCTTGAGGTGGGTCGGTGATCTTGTCTCCCCGCAGTGGGGCGACTGAGGGGTCGTATGCGTACAACTGGAGGTAGGCCACTTGGCCTATGGCCTGGGGAGTGGAGGGGGAAGAATAGGGTGGGAAGCGGTGGGGTTGGGTTGAGGAGGGGCGACTGAGTGGTCGTATGCGTACTGCTGGAGGTAGGCCACTTGGCCGATAGCCTGTTGGCAGTGGAGGGGGGCAGGGAGAAGGAGAGCTTGAGGTGGGTCGGTGATCTTGTCTCCCCGCACGATGACTGCTACGGACCCGAGGCGCTCGTAATCTAGTAAAGACAAGAAGAATGTAATGAAATCAGGTAACGTACCTGCAGGGCACCGAACGCCACAGCCATATACTTCATGTACTGCTGCGCTTTCTTCCTCCCCGCCTCCCCCTCCTTCTTCTGCAGATCCCCAATCTTAGGGTACAGCGTCCCCAGCAGCTGGAACACGATCTGAGCGTTGATATACGGCACGATGCCCAGCGAAAACAATCCCAGCCGTCCAATCCCGCCCCCTGAGAGCGTGTCTAGGGTGGCCAGGAATGAGCCCTCCCCCAGTTGCTCCTGGAAGGCGGAGATATCGACGCCCCACAGGGGAATGTAGATTCCCACGCGGGATAGCGCGAGCAGACCCAGGAGCATGAGGAATTTCTTGGGTAAATCGCCCTTGAAAAAGTCGCCGATGTCGATCTTGCTGTCCTCCACTGGAAAGGTGGTGCGGGTCAGGTCAGGGGAGAGGTGGAAACGGGAGGCAGAGGGGGGAGAAAGAGGAGGGAGAACAAGGCAGAGAAAGGCAGAGAGATATAGTGGGAAGGCGGGGAGGAGGGATGAGGGAGAGATTGAAGCAGGGGAGGAAAAAAGGAAGAGGGAATTCGGTTTAGTCTTTTTTTTTTCCCTCGCCCCCCCAAGTCCCCCAAGTCCCCCCCCCCCTCCCCCCCACCCGGGGGGGGATGGAGGGTGGGGGAGAGGGGACAGGGGGGACGGGAGGGTGGGAGGAAAGGAATAACATTCTGATGTATGTATTGAAATAATATCACAATCAAGAATCACGGAATATTCTCTCAAATTCAAGCTAGAATCAGCCAACCAGGCTTTGTGACTGTGACTGTAATGAAGGTGGCTGTAATGAAGGCGACTCGACCCGGGGGTTACTGCAATGAAGGCGACTCGACTCGGGGGTGACTGCAATGAAGGCGACTCGACTCGGGGGTGACTGCAATGAAGGCGACTCGACTCGGGGGTGACTGCAATGAAGGCGACTCGACTCGGGGGTGACTGTAATGAATGCGACTCGACCCGGGATTGACTGTAATGAAGGCGACTCGACTCGCGGTCGGCGTGACTATAACCAAGTTCAGGGCGGCATGGCCAGCCTCCTGTCAAGAGAGCATGCCACGTCAGCACTTGTTGCCACGTCAGCAGGACCTGGGTTGAGGTAGGGCCTGGGTCCGGTTCGGGTATGGGCTGCCTCACGTCTCTGCCCCGGGCCTCACGTCTCTGCCCCGGGCCTCACATCTCTGCCCCGGGCCTCACGTCTCTGCCCCGGGCCTCACATCTCTGCCCCGGGCCTCACGTCTCTGCCCCGGGCCTCACGTCTCTGCCCCGGGCCTCACATCTCTGCCCCGGGCCTCACATCTCTGCCCCGGGCCTCACATCTCTGCCCCGGGCCTCACATCTCTGCCCCGGGCCTCAATACCTACCATAACCAACAAACACCACCTAACATTATCTACCACAGAAACATAACATAATCCTAAACAGCACCTAAGTAAGTTTGATGCATTTTTTGTGAACATTTCTAGACATTACTACGGTACGGGGAATCTTTATCGCACCTGCAATTCGTAGTGGCACCTGTGCAAGGTCCACGGGGGGGAGGGGCGGGAGAGAGAGGAGGACGAGAGGAGAAGAGGAAATGCGGGTCAGGGGAGGTGCTATGAGGGGCAGGGCAGGGGGGTGATGATAGCAGCAAGCACTGCAATAAGAGCCGCAGCATAAGCAAGCAAAGCTCATTCCCCCCCACCTCCATGCGCATTTCCCCCCTGCACCGCACACCACCCCACCCCACCCAACACACTCACCATGTCGTGGCCGGCAGTTGGTGAGCTCGATGGAGGTGGCGACTCCCTCCCCCGCCATCTCCCTGACATGGCGGAACGGACGGCACGAGCAAACGGGGCAAAGCATGGGCAAAGGGGGCAACGCATGAGCAGAGGGGGAAAGGCATGGGCAGGGAGAACGGCATGAGCAGAGGGGGAAAGGCATGGGCAGGGAGAACGGCATGAGCAGAGGGGGAAAGGCATGCGCAAGGCGGGAATGCATGGGAAAGGCGGAAAGGCATGCGCAAGGCGGAAAGGCATGCGCAAGGCGGAAAGGCATGCGCAAGGCGGAAAGGCATGGGGAAGGCGGAAAGGCATGGGGAAGGCGGAAATGCATGGGCAAGGCGGAAAGGCAGGGAAAGGCGGACATGCATGCGCAAGGCGGAAAGGCATGGGAAAAGGGGGGAACGGCGCGCTGACCTGCTCCGCGTGCAGCATGCTCGCCGGTGCTGTCCGCGCGGCCAGCAGCGCGCGCGGCGCTACCTGGTGAGCGCGGTGGGCGCCGTCACGGCGGGTGGAGCGGCGGCGGGTAGGCGCTGCTACGCTGGAGCCTGTCGTCCCTGCACAGCAAGGGGAGGGAGGGGCAGAGGGAGAGCGGAGGAAGGGACGGAGGGAGAGAGCAACGAGAAACCAAGAAAGGCAAGAGGGGTTGAGGACTGAAGTGAACTGTTTGGAAAGAATGCTCACGTAGGAGAGAAATGGGAAACATAACGGGAATTCCAGGGAGAAAACAGATAAAGAGGACAAAACGAAATAAAGTAATAAAACAGTAGAACAAAACGGATTTTGCATGGCGCATGGCACACATGCAGTCGCATGGCGCACATGCAATCGCGTGCTCATGAAATTTCAGCGTGCGCACATGCAGTGACAGTGCGCACCTGCTGGAGGGAGGAATAAGGGCCCTCCCACAGTGCGGGAGGGATCCGCCGCCTATGTTGAATCCCATGGGGGAAGGAATTCGAAGTCTAACGTGGGGAAGGCATTTAAGACCACTGATCGAGATGGGAGAGAAGGAATGGAGATCGGGAGAGCGGAAAAACGGAGACTAACGTGGGAGACGAAATTAGGAGATGAGCTGCGACCGATATGGGAGAGAATGAGTGGATCGGGAGAGCGGAGCTATGGAAAGTAACGTGGAAAATAATGGAGTTGAGATCGAAATGGGATGGGGATGGGATTGGGAGAGAAGCAAGGAAGGAGGAGTGGAGGAGATCGGGAGAGGAGTTGGAGAGGAGAGCAAGCAAGCAGATTTTGTTGACTCTCGCCACTGTAGCGCGAAATGACCAGCACCCTCGCCTCGGTCACCAAAACAGAAACGAATTGCAACTCTTCATACAAAAAAGGAACACTCCTCACCCTGGAACATGTAAACCTAAAACGAAAATAAGAGTGTACACCTAGAATCCACCTGCCCTGCACCAAAAAAAACGATGGTGGGGACCAAATCTCAGAATTCACACACATTGCAAACCAAGTCGCGGAGCACAACACAAGCCTCCAATCCAAATCAAGTCGCTAAACACAAGTCGCGAAACATCCCACCGGTCCAATCAAACAGCACAAGCCATGCCAGCTAGCGCGGTCTGGGAAGTGACAGAAACGAGACTCGGATGATGTACAATCCAATATACAGTCATTGGTGCAGCGCTGGCGCGCTGCGCGATCCGCCTGGTGCCTGCAAACTTACTTTCTTATCAATCTATTCCCATGTACATGGGAATAGATTGATAAGAATGTAAGTTTGCATTTTCCTGGTTTATGTTTTCCTTCACGATGCATGCATTGTTATAAGCAAATATTCCAGAAAACAAGTGGGCTGACCCTGGTGTTGGTTGGTACATCTGCAGCAAAATCTTAGGCTAGCTAGTTCCTAGCTACCTATTTTTTAGCTATCTATTTGCTAGCTACCTAATTCCTGGCTAGTTATAGCCTGGCCTTGCCAATTCCTAGCTAGCCAATTTCTGGCCTGCCAACTCCTTGCTAACTCCTAGCCAATTCCTAGCTTGCTATTTCCTAGCTAGTAGCTAGTTAATTCCTAGCCAGCCAAATCATAGCTGGTAACTAGTTCCTAGCCAGCCACATCCTAGCAAGCTAATCCCTAGCTAGCTGCCGTAATTCCTAGTCAACCAAATCCTAACTACCGTAGCTAATTTGTAGATAGTTTACTACTCCTGGCTAACCTACGAGAAAGGGGCATCTGCGAGGGCGTGTTCCGGCTTCGTCTGTACGCGGTAAACACGATTGGATGTATCAGGGATGTGTCAGGAAGATGCTTCCTTGTGTCACACTCATTGTGGAGTTGATGAAAAGACTGACGTTGCAGATAATGACACCATCTCAAATCGACACGCAACAGGGCCTGGCCTGCAATCGTGCCAACCAAGCGATGGCCCGATACAAACACAGAGACTCAAAAGCTTGAAGCAATCTAATTCAGTAACGCACCACTCCATGCGCTTGACATTGATGTCATTCAACACAGAAACCTTGGTCGTCACGATGCAAGTGTGTAACACTCTATCATGCAGTTGCTTGAACCTAGTTTCACATCAACACGAAGCCACAAGGTACTTTATACGATACCTTGTGCACACCGATGCTGCTCTACTCTAAATATCCAGCCTCAGCATTCACCTAGGAGGCGGAATCCCTCCACCACCCGCACTGATATCATCCAGCTCAATCGTCCTATACTTCTGCGAAACCAGCTCCGCCTGCACCTTCCTGGCTGTATCGGTAGCGCATCCGACTAAAATGAGGATGGACGTTCCAGCAAACCCCCGGAAGGCCGTGAGGTGAGTGATTCCTTCCACAAGAGCCGGCGCTGCTGCCATCGTGCCGAGAAACGCCGACCCGAGCACCGAAATGCGGGTGAGGACCTGGTGTTAAGTAGTTAAAGAAGCAAGAGTAATGGGGAGAAAGGGAGAAGGGGATGGGAGGGGGAAGGAGAAGCCAAAGAGGGAAAGGAAACACGAGTGGGGAAAGGGCTGAGAGGGAGCCGGCCAGGAGTCATCATGGAGTGTTTGCGAGGCCAAACGGAGCTTGGTGATGAGCATGGCTGCTGCCTTGCCAGGCCTGGTGTAGGCCACAGACGCGCCCTGCCTCTTGAGAAAGTGGGCCGTATGCCGGATTTACGAACGTACAATGAGTGAACAAGGGCGACTCACCTTGGTGATGAGTGCGGCTGTTGCTTTGCCGGGCCTCGTGTTGGGTACGGACGCACCCTGCCTCTTGAGCTGGTCGCTGACATCAGCAGGGTCGAGTTGCAGGAAGGTGTAGAAGTAGTTGAAGAAGGCAATGAGTGCCACGTTGGCGGGGAGGTAGAAGAAACCTGGGGATTAGCGGAACACATGGGGAGAGAGGATGTTGATTGAAGATGCAAGGAGAAAGAAAGGAGAAGGAGCGAGTAAGTGAGTTGCAGGAAGGTGTAGAAGTAGTTGAGAAAGGCGAACAGTGCCACGTTAGCAGGCAGATAGAAGAAACCTGGAGATTAGCGGAACACATGGGGAGAGAGGATGTTGATTGAAGATGCAAGGAGAAAGAAAGGAGAAGGAGCGAGTAAGTGAGTTGCAGGAAGGTGTGGAAGTAGTTGAGAAAGGCGAACAGTGCCACGTTAGCAGGCAGATAGAAGAAACCTGGAGATTAGCGGAACACATGGGGAGAGAGGATGTTGATTGAAGATGCAAGGAGAAAGAAAGGAGAAGGAGCGAGTAAGTGAGTTGCAGGAAGGTGTGGAAGTAGTTGAAGAATGCAATCAGTGCCACGTTGGCGGGGAGGTAGAAGAAACCTGGGGATGAGTGGAGCAGGGAAATCAAAGGGAGTGGAGGAGGGAGAGGGAGCAGGGAGAGGAGTGAGTGAGTTGCAGGAAGGTGTAGAAGTAGTTGAAGAATGCGATGAGTGCCACGTTGGCAGGCGGGTAGAGGAGACCTGGGGATTAGTGGAACACATGGTGGTAAAAAGAGTGAGAGGATGACGGAAAAGCAGAGTGATAAATTTGCAGTAAGGTGTAGAAGTAGTTGAAGAAAGCGATCAGTGCCACGTTGGCAGGCAGATAGATCGGTAAAGCGAGCTATGGAGTAGGGAGCAGGAGCAGTCTGGTTACCCTATTACTGACCTGTGGTTACCATGTAACATACCTCCAGGGTAGAGAGCTGTAGCAGCGGACTGGAAAGCAGCACTTCCGGTAAAGCGAGCGATGGAGTAGGGAGCAGCGAGGAGCGAGGAAGAGAAGATAATTGGCATGACTCCCGTTGAGTTGACCTGCAGAGGGGGGAAGAGGAAGAGACGGGTAGAGGGTAGATGAGAAAGATGTTGATCCGAGAGGGTGGAACATAAGAAAGACGAAGGAGAGAGGAGGAGAAGACGATTGGCATGACTTTCGTTGAGTTGACCTGCGGGGGGGATTAGAGGTTGGATAAGAGAAAAGAGGTGGTTGTGAGAGAGGGGTGGTTGGAGAGAATGGGTAGATGAGAGAGAAAGGAACGGCAGATAATTGAGAAGAGAGGAGTAAACGTGAGGCATGGCTTCTGTTGAGTTGAGTGTGGGGGTTGGTGGGGGGGGGGGGGGGAAGGGTGAGTGAGTGAGGGGTCGATGCAAGAAAAAGAAAGCGGTGTGTTACATTCGCGGGAGAGATGCTACCTTCGAGGGGGAGGTGTTACCTTCCAGGGGGAGGTGCTGCCTTTCAGGGGGAGGTGTAACCTTCCAGAGGGAGGTGCTGCCTTTCAGGGGGAGGTGTTGCCTTTCAGGGGGAGGTGTTACCTTGAATGGCAGGTACGCATTCCGCGTCTTGATGTTGTACCGAGACGCATAGTTGATTGGAATACGCCGCTCTGCCTCCTGCTCGGTGGAAGGGATTAAGTTGTGGTGGTGGTGGGGGTGGTGGGGGTGGTAGGGGGAGTGGGAAGAACGGAGAAAAGAGGACGGGGAATTTGAATTGGTTGTATCGAGACACATAGTTGACGGGAATACGCCGCTCTGCTTCCTGCTTGGAGGGAAAGGGGTAGTGGATAGGGTAGAGGGTGGGAGGGGAAGGGGAGGAGAGGGTAGAAAGAGAGTAGAGGGTGAGATGGTGCATGGGGTTGGTTGTACCGTTATGCGTAGTTGATGGGGATGTGACACTCTGCCTCCTACTCGGAGGGAAGGGGGAAGTTGGAGCTGGTTGTAGCGGCACATAGTTGTTGGGAATGCGACTCCCCGCCTTCTGCTCAGAAGGCTGGCAGGCAGGCCGGCAGAGAGGCATAGAGCAGGAACCCACCTGCACCCATTCACACCCACCTGCACGTAGACAATCCCAAGGACGAGCAGCAGGAAGGAGGCCAGCAGCAGCGCCTCGCCGGTAACGTTCCCCTGCTCAGACGCCTCTGTGATGCAGGTAGGCAGGCAGGAGGAATATAGCACACCCATCCACACCCATCTGTACCGCACCCACCTGCACGTAGACGATGCCGAACACGAGCAGCAGGAAGGACGCGAGCAGCAGCGCCTCTCCGGTCACATTCCCTTGTTCAGAAGCCTCTGTGATCGTCCTCCCAATGGACGCCGGCAGGTAGGAAACGATATTGGTGAAGATGAGCAGAGAGGTGCCGTTGCCGAGCTTGAGATCAGTGATCTTGTCTCCCAGCAGGATGACTGCCACGGATCCCAAAGTGAGGCCCGAGACGGCGGAGACTGCCCAGGCGACCGACGGGTCGTAGGCGTACTGCTGTAGATATGCCACCTGTCCGATAGCCTGGGAGGAGGGCGAGAGGCAGGGAGGAAGGGAGAGCTTGAGGTGGGTGATCCTGTCTCCCAGGAGGATGACTGCCACGGATCCGACAGTCAGGCCTGAGACGGCTGAGACTGCCCAGGCGACCGAGGGGTCGTAGGCGTACTGCTGCAGATATGCCACCTGTCCGATTGCCTGGGAGGAGGGCGAGAGGCAGGGAGGAAGGGAGAGCTTGAGGTGGGTGATCCTGTCTCCCAGGAGGATGACTGCCACGGATCCGACAGTCAGGCCTGAGACGGCTGAGACTGCCCAAGCGACTGATGGGTCGTATGCGTACTGCTGCAGGTAGGCCACTTGGCCGATAGCCTGGGGAGTGGAGGGGGGCAGGGAGAAGGAGAGCTTGAGGTGGGTCGGTGATCTTGTCTCCCCGCAGTGGGGCGACTGAGGGGTCGTATGCGTACAACTGGAGGTAGGCCACTTGGCCTATGGCCTGGGGAGTGGAGGGGGAAGAATAGGGTGGGAAGCGGTGGGGTTGGGTTGAGGAGGGGCGACTGAGTGGTCGTATGCGTACTGCTGGAGGTAGGCCACTTGGCCGATAGCCTGTTGGCAGTGGAGGGGGGCAGGGAGAAGGAGAGCTTGAGGTGGGTCGGTGATCTTGTCTCCCCGCACGATGACTGCTACGGACCCGAGGCGCTCGTAATCTAGTAAAGACAAGAAGAATGTAATGAAATCAGGTAACGTACCTGCAGGGCACCGAACGCCACAGCCATATACTTCATGTACTGCTGCGCTTTCTTCCTCCCCGCCTCCCCCTCCTTCTTCTGCAGATCCCCAATCTTAGGGTACAGCGTCCCCAGCAGCTGGAACACGATCTGAGCGTTGATATACGGCACGATGCCCAGCGAAAACAATCCCAGCCGTCCAATCCCGCCCCCTGAGAGCGTGTCTAGGGTGGCCAGGAATGAGCCCTCCCCCAGTTGCTCCTGGAAGGCGGAGATATCGACGCCCCACAGGGGAATGTAGATTCCCACGCGGGATAGCGCGAGCAGACCCAGGAGCATGAGGAATTTCTTGGGTAAATCGCCCTTGAAAAAGTCGCCGATGTCGATCTTGCTGTCCTCCACTGGAAAGGTGGTGCGGGTCAGGTCAGGGGAGAGGTGGAAACGGGAGGCAGAGGGGGGAGAAAGAGGAGGGAGAACAAGGCAGAGAAAGGCAGAGAGATATAGTGGGAAGGCGGGGAGGAGGGATGAGGGAGAGATTGAAGCAGGGGAGGAAAAAAGGAAGAGGGAATTCGGTTTAGTCTTTTTTTTTTCCCTCGCCCCCCCAAGTCCCCCAAGTCCCCCCCCCCCTCCCCCCCACCCGGGGGGGGATGGAGGGTGGGGGAGAGGGGACAGGGGGGACGGGAGGGTGGGAGGAAAGGAATAACATTCTGATGTATGTATTGAAATAATATCACAATCAAGAATCACGGAATATTCTCTCAAATTCAAGCTAGAATCAGCCAACCAGGCTTTGTGACTGTGACTGTAATGAAGGTGGCTGTAATGAAGGCGACTCGACCCGGGGGTTACTGCAATGAAGGCGACTCGACTCGGGGGTGACTGCAATGAAGGCGACTCGACTCGGGGGTGACTGCAATGAAGGCGACTCGACTCGGGGGTGACTGCAATGAAGGCGACTCGACTCGGGGGTGACTGTAATGAATGCGACTCGACCCGGGATTGACTGTAATGAAGGCGACTCGACTCGCGGTCGGCGTGACTATAACCAAGTTCAGGGCGGCATGGCCAGCCTCCTGTCAAGAGAGCATGCCACGTCAGCACTTGTTGCCACGTCAGCAGGACCTGGGTTGAGGTAGGGCCTGGGTCCGGTTCGGGTATGGGCTGCCTCACGTCTCTGCCCCGGGCCTCACGTCTCTGCCCCGGGCCTCACATCTCTGCCCCGGGCCTCACGTCTCTGCCCCGGGCCTCACATCTCTGCCCCGGGCCTCACGTCTCTGCCCCGGGCCTCACGTCTCTGCCCCGGGCCTCACATCTCTGCCCCGGGCCTCACATCTCTGCCCCGGGCCTCACATCTCTGCCCCGGGCCTCACATCTCTGCCCCGGGCCTCAATACCTACCATAACCAACAAACACCACCTAACATTATCTACCACAGAAACATAACATAATCCTAAACAGCACCTAAGTAAGTTTGATGCATTTTTTGTGAACATTTCTAGACATTACTACGGTACGGGGAATCTTTATCGCACCTGCAATTCGTAGTGGCACCTGTGCAAGGTCCACGGGGGGGAGGGGCGGGAGAGAGAGGAGGACGAGAGGAGAAGAGGAAATGCGGGTCAGGGGAGGTGCTATGAGGGGCAGGGCAGGGGGGTGATGATAGCAGCAAGCACTGCAATAAGAGCCGCAGCATAAGCAAGCAAAGCTCATTCCCCCCCACCTCCATGCGCATTTCCCCCCTGCACCGCACACCACCCCACCCCACCCAACACACTCACCATGTCGTGGCCGGCAGTTGGTGAGCTCGATGGAGGTGGCGACTCCCTCCCCCGCCATCTCCCTGACATGGCGGAACGGACGGCACGAGCAAACGGGGCAAAGCATGGGCAAAGGGGGCAACGCATGAGCAGAGGGGGAAAGGCATGGGCAGGGAGAACGGCATGAGCAGAGGGGGAAAGGCATGGGCAGGGAGAACGGCATGAGCAGAGGGGGAAAGGCATGCGCAAGGCGGGAATGCATGGGAAAGGCGGAAAGGCATGCGCAAGGCGGAAAGGCATGCGCAAGGCGGAAAGGCATGCGCAAGGCGGAAAGGCATGGGGAAGGCGGAAAGGCATGGGGAAGGCGGAAATGCATGGGCAAGGCGGAAAGGCAGGGGAAAGGCGGACATGCATGCGCAAGGCGGAAAGGCATGGGAAAAGGGGGGAACGGCGCGCTGACCTGCTCCGCGTGCAGCATGCTCGCCGGTGCTGTCCGCGCGGCCAGCAGCGCGCGCGGCGCTACCTGGTGAGCGCGGTGGGCGCCGTCACGGCGGGTGGAGCGGCGGCGGGTAGGCGCTGCTACGCTGGAGCCTGTCGTCCCTGCACAGCAAGGGGAGGGAGGGGCAGAGGGAGAGCGGAGGAAGGGACGGAGGGAGAGAGCAACGAGAAACCAAGAAAGGCAAGAGGGGTTGAGGACTGAAGTGAACTGTTTGGAAAGAATGCTCACGTAGGAGAGAAATGGGAAACATAACGGGAATTCCAGGGAGAAAACAGATAAAGAGGACAAAACGAAATAAAGTAATAAAACAGTAGAACAAAACGGATTTTGCATGGCGCATGGCACACATGCAGTCGCATGGCGCACATGCAATCGCGTGCTCATGAAATTTCAGCGTGCGCACATGCAGTGACAGTGCGCACCTGCTGGAGGGAGGAATAAGGGCCCTCCCACAGTGCGGGAGGGATCCGCCGCCTATGTTGAATCCCATGGGGGAAGGAATTCGAAGTCTAACGTGGGGAAGGCATTTAAGACCACTGATCGAGATGGGAGAGAAGGAATGGAGATCGGGAGAGCGGAAAAACGGAGACTAACGTGGGAGACGAAATTAGGAGATGAGCTGCGACCGATATGGGAGAGAATGAGTGGATCGGGGAGAGCGGAGCTATGGAAAGTAACGTGGAAAATAATGGAGTTGAGATCGAAATGGGATGGGGATGGGATTGGGAGAGAAGCAAGGAAGGAGGAGTGGAGGAGATCGGGAGAGGAGTTGGAGAGGAGAGCAAGCAAGCAGATTTTGTTGACTCTCGCCACTGTAGCGCGAAATGACCAGCACCCTCGCCTCGGTCACCAAAACAGAAACGAATTGCAACTCTTCATACAAAAAAGGAACACTCCTCACCCTGGAACATGTAAACCTAAAACGAAAATAAGAGTGTACACCTAGAATCCACCTGCCCTGCACCAAAAAAACGATGGTGGGGACCAAATCTCAGAATTCACACACATTGCAAACCAAGTCGCGGAGCACAACACAAGCCTCCAATCCAAATCAAGTCGCTAAACACAAGTCGCGAAACATCCCACCGGTCCAATCAAACAGCACAAGCCATGCCAGCTAGCGCGGTCTGGGAAGTGACAGAAACGAGACTCGGATGATGTACAATCCAATATACAGTCATTGGTGCAGCGCTGGCGCGCTGCGCGATCCGCCTGGTGCCTGCAAACTTACTTTCTTATCAATCTATTCCCATGTACATGGGAATAGATTGATAAGAATGTAAGTTTGCATTTTCCTGGTTTATGTTTTCCTTCACGATGCATGCATTGTTATAAGCAAATATTCCAGAAAACAAGTGGGCTGACCCTGGTGTTGGTTGGTACATCTGCAGCAAAATCTTAGGCTAGCTAGTTCCTAGCTACCTATTTTTTAGCTATCTATTTGCTAGCTACCTAATTCCTGGCTAGTTATAGCCTGGCCTTGCCAATTCCTAGCTAGCCAATTTCTGGCCTGCCAACTCCTTGCTAACTCCTAGCCAATTCCTAGCTTGCTATTTCCTAGCTAGTAGCTAGTTAATTCCTAGCCAGCCAAATCATAGCTGGTAACTAGTTCCTAGCCAGCCACATCCTAGCAAGCTAATCCCTAGCTAGCTGCCGTAATTCCTAGTCAACCAAATCCTAACTACCGTAGCTAATTTGTAGATAGTTTACTACTCCTGGCTAACCTACGAGAAAGGGGCATCTGCGAGGGCGTGTTCCGGCTTCGTCTGTACGCGGTAAACACGATTGGATGTATCAGGGATGTGTCAGGAAGATGCTTCCTTGTGTCACACTCATTGTGGAGTTGATGAAAAGACTGACGTTGCAGATAATGACACCATCTCAAATCGACACGCAACAGGGCCTGGCCTGCAATCGTGCCAACCAAGCGATGGCCCGATACAAACACAGAGACTCAAAAGCTTGAAGCAATCTAATTCAGTAACGCACCACTCCATGCGCTTGACATTGATGTCATTCAACACAGAAACCTTGGTCGTCACGATGCAAGTGTGTAACACTCTATCATGCAGTTGCTTGAACCTAGTTTCACATCAACACGAAGCCACAAGGTACTTTATACGATACCTTGTGCACACCGATGCTGCTCTACTCTAAATATCCAGCCTCAGCATTCACCTAGGAGGCGGAATCCCTCCACCACCCGCACTGATATCATCCAGCTCAATCGTCCTATACTTCTGCGAAACCAGCTCCGCCTGCACCTTCCTGGCTGTATCGGTAGCGCATCCGACTAAAATGAGGATGGACGTTCCAGCAAACCCCCGGAAGGCCGTGAGGTGAGTGATTCCTTCCACAAGAGCCGGCGCTGCTGCCATCGTGCCGAGAAACGCCGACCCGAGCACCGAAATGCGGGTGAGGACCTGGTGTTAAGTAGTTAAAGAAGCAAGAGTAATGGGGAGAAAGGGAGAAGGGGATGGGAGGGGGAAGGAGAAGCCAAAGAGGGAAAGGAAACACGAGTGGGGAAAGGGCTGAGAGGGAGCCGGCCAGGAGTCATCATGGAGTGTTTGCGAGGCCAAACGGAGCTTGGTGATGAGCATGGCTGCTGCCTTGCCAGGCCTGGTGTAGGCCACAGACGCGCCCTGCCTCTTGAGAAAGTGGGCCGTATGCCGGATTTACGAACGTACAATGAGTGAACAAGGGCGACTCACCTTGGTGATGAGTGCGGCTGTTGCTTTGCCGGGCCTCGTGTTGGGTACGGACGCACCCTGCCTCTTGAGCTGGTCGCTGACATCAGCAGGGTCGAGTTGCAGGAAGGTGTAGAAGTAGTTGAAGAAGGCAATGAGTGCCACGTTGGCGGGGAGGTAGAAGAAACCTGGGGATTAGCGGAACACATGGGGAGAGAGGATGTTGATTGAAGATGCAAGGAGAAAGAAAGGAGAAGGAGCGAGTAAGTGAGTTGCAGGAAGGTGTAGAAGTAGTTGAGAAAGGCGAACAGTGCCACGTTAGCAGGCAGATAGAAGAAACCTGGAGATTAGCGGAACACATGGGGAGAGAGGATGTTGATTGAAGATGCAAGGAGAAAGAAAGGAGAAGGAGCGAGTAAGTGAGTTGCAGGAAGGTGTGGAAGTAGTTGAGAAAGGCGAACAGTGCCACGTTAGCAGGCAGATAGAAGAAACCTGGAGATTAGCGGAACACATGGGGAGAGAGGATGTTGATTGAAGATGCAAGGAGAAAGAAAGGAGAAGGAGCGAGTAAGTGAGTTGCAGGAAGGTGTGGAAGTAGTTGAAGAATGCAATCAGTGCCACGTTGGCGGGGAGGTAGAAGAAACCTGGGGATGAGTGGAGCAGGGAAATCAAAGGGAGTGGAGGAGGGAGAGGGAGCAGGGAGAGGAGTGAGTGAGTTGCAGGAAGGTGTAGAAGTAGTTGAAGAATGCGATGAGTGCCACGTTGGCAGGCGGGTAGAGGAGACCTGGGGATTAGTGGAACACATGGTGGTAAAAAGAGTGAGAGGATGACGGAAAAGCAGAGTGATAAATTTGCAGTAAGGTGTAGAAGTAGTTGAAGAAAGCGATCAGTGCCACGTTGGCAGGCAGATAGATCGGTAAAGCGAGCTATGGAGTAGGGAGCAGGAGCAGTCTGGTTACCCTATTACTGACCTGTGGTTACCATGTAACATACCTCCAGGGTAGAGAGCTGTAGCAGCGGACTGGAAAGCAGCACTTCCGGTAAAGCGAGCGATGGAGTAGGGAGCAGCGAGGAGCGAGGAAGAGAAGATAATTGGCATGACTCCCGTTGAGTTGACCTGCAGAGGGGGGAAGAGGAAGAGACGGGTAGAGGGTAGATGAGAAAGATGTTGATCCGAGAGGGTGGAACATAAGAAAGACAAAGGAGAGAGGAGGAGAAGACGATTGGCATGACTTTCGTTGAGTTGACCTGCGGGGGGGATTAGAGGTTGGATAAGAGAAAAGAGGTGGTTGTGAGAGAGGGGTGGTTGGAGAGAATGGGTAGATGAGAGAGAAAGGAACGGCAGATAATTGAGAAGAGAGGAGTAAACGTGAGGCATGGCTTCTGTTGAGTTGAGTGTGGGGGTTGGTGGGGGGGGGGGGGGGAAGGGTGAGTGAGTGAGGGGTCGATGCAAGAAAAAGAAAGCGGTGTGTTACATTCGCGGGAGAGATGCTACCTTCGAGGGGGAGGTGTTACCTTCCAGGGGGAGGTGCTGCCTTTCAGGGGGAGGTGTAACCTTCCAGAGGGAGGTGCTGCCTTTCAGGGGGAGGTGTTGCCTTTCAGGGGGAGGTGTTACCTTGAATGGCAGGTACGCATTCCGCGTCTTGATGTTGTACCGAGACGCATAGTTGATTGGAATACGCCGCTCTGCCTCCTGCTCGGTGGAAGGGATTAAGTTGTGGTGGTGGTGGGGGTGGTGGGGGTGGTAGGGGGAGTGGGAAGAACGGAGAAAAGAGGACGGGGAATTTGAATTGGTTGTATCGAGACACATAGTTGACGGGAATACGCCGCTCTGCTTCCTGCTTGGAGGGAAAGGGGTAGTGGATAGGGTAGAGGGTGGGAGGGGAAGGGGAGGAGAGGGTAGAAAGAGAGTAGAGGGTGAGATGGTGCATGGGGTTGGTTGTACCGTTATGCGTAGTTGATGGGGATGTGACACTCTGCCTCCTACTCGGAGGGAAGGGGGAAGTTGGAGCTGGTTGTAGCGGCACATAGTTGTTGGGAATGCGACTCCCCGCCTTCTGCTCAGAAGGCTGGCAGGCAGGCCGGCAGAGAGGCATAGAGCAGGAACCCACCTGCACCCATTCACACCCACCTGCACGTAGACAATCCCAAGGACGAGCAGCAGGAAGGAGGCCAGCAGCAGCGCCTCGCCGGTAACGTTCCCCTGCTCAGACGCCTCTGTGATGCAGGTAGGCAGGCAGGAGGAATATAGCACACCCATCCACACCCATCTGTACCGCACCCACCTGCACGTAGACGATGCCGAACACGAGCAGCAGGAAGGACGCGAGCAGCAGCGCCTCTCCGGTCACATTCCCTTGTTCAGAAGCCTCTGTGATCGTCCTCCCAATGGACGCCGGCAGGTAGGAAACGATATTGGTGAAGATGAGCAGAGAGGTGCCGTTGCCGAGCTTGAGATCAGTGATCTTGTCTCCCAGCAGGATGACTGCCACGGATCCCAAAGTGAGGCCCGAGACGGCGGAGACTGCCCAGGCGACCGACGGGTCGTAGGCGTACTGCTGTAGATATGCCACCTGTCCGATAGCCTGGGAGGAGGGCGAGAGGCAGGGAGGAAGGGAGAGCTTGAGGTGGGTGATCCTGTCTCCCAGGAGGATGACTGCCACGGATCCGACAGTCAGGCCTGAGACGGCTGAGACTGCCCAGGCGACCGAGGGGTCGTAGGCGTACTGCTGCAGATATGCCACCTGTCCGATTGCCTGGGAGGAGGGCGAGAGGCAGGGAGGAAGGGAGAGCTTGAGGTGGGTGATCCTGTCTCCCAGGAGGATGACTGCCACGGATCCGACAGTCAGGCCTGAGACGGCTGAGACTGCCCAAGCGACTGATGGGTCGTATGCGTACTGCTGCAGGTAGGCCACTTGGCCGATAGCCTGGGGAGTGGAGGGGGGCAGGGAGAAGGAGAGCTTGAGGTGGGTCGGTGATCTTGTCTCCCCGCAGTGGGGCGACTGAGGGGTCGTATGCGTACAACTGGAGGTAGGCCACTTGGCCTATGGCCTGGGGAGTGGAGGGGGAAGAATAGGGTGGGAAGCGGTGGGGTTGGGTTGAGGAGGGGCGACTGAGTGGTCGTATGCGTACTGCTGGAGGTAGGCCACTTGGCCGATAGCCTGTTGGCAGTGGAGGGGGGCAGGGAGAAGGAGAGCTTGAGGTGGGTCGGTGATCTTGTCTCCCCGCACGATGACTGCTACGGACCCGAGGCGCTCGTAATCTAGTAAAGACAAGAAGAATGTAATGAAATCAGGTAACGTACCTGCAGGGCACCGAACGCCACAGCCATATACTTCATGTACTGCTGCGCTTTCTTCCTCCCCGCCTCCCCCTCCTTCTTCTGCAGATCCCCAATCTTAGGGTACAGCGTCCCCAGCAGCTGGAACACGATCTGAGCGTTGATATACGGCACGATGCCCAGCGAAAACAATCCCAGCCGTCCAATCCCGCCCCCTGAGAGCGTGTCTAGGGTGGCCAGGAATGAGCCCTCCCCCAGTTGCTCCTGGAAGGCGGAGATATCGACGCCCCACAGGGGAATGTAGATTCCCACGCGGGATAGCGCGAGCAGACCCAGGAGCATGAGGAATTTCTTGGGTAAATCGCCCTTGAAAAAGTCGCCGATGTCGATCTTGCTGTCCTCCACTGGAAAGGTGGTGCGGGTCAGGTCAGGGGAGAGGTGGAAACGGGAGGCAGAGGGGGGAGAAAGAGGAGGGAGAACAAGGCAGAGAAAGGCAGAGAGATATAGTGGGAAGGCGGGGAGGAGGGATGAGGGAGAGATTGAAGCAGGGGAGGAAAAAAGGAAGAGGGAATTCGGTTTAGTCTTTTTTTTTTTCCCTCGCCCCCCCAAGTCCCCCAAGTCCCCCCCCCCCTCCCCCCCACCCGGGGGGGGATGGAGGGTGGGGGAGAGGGGACAGGGGGGACGGGAGGGTGGGAGGAAAGGAATAACATTCTGATGTATGTATTGAAATAATATCACAATCAAGAATCACGGAATATTCTCTCAAATTCAAGCTAGAATCAGCCAACCAGGCTTTGTGACTGTGACTGTAATGAAGGTGGCTGTAATGAAGGCGACTCGACCCGGGGGTTACTGCAATGAAGGCGACTCGACTCGGGGGTGACTGCAATGAAGGCGACTCGACTCGGGGGTGACTGCAATGAAGGCGACTCGACTCGGGGGTGACTGCAATGAAGGCGACTCGACTCGGGGGTGACTGTAATGAATGCGACTCGACCCGGGATTGACTGTAATGAAGGCGACTCGACTCGCGGTCGGCGTGACTATAACCAAGTTCAGGGCGGCATGGCCAGCCTCCTGTCAAGAGAGCATGCCACGTCAGCACTTGTTGCCACGTCAGCAGGACCTGGGTTGAGGTAGGGCCTGGGTCCGGTTCGGGTATGGGCTGCCTCACGTCTCTGCCCCGGGCCTCACGTCTCTGCCCCGGGCCTCACATCTCTGCCCCGGGCCTCACGTCTCTGCCCCGGGCCTCACATCTCTGCCCCGGGCCTCACGTCTCTGCCCCGGGCCTCACGTCTCTGCCCCGGGCCTCACATCTCTGCCCCGGGCCTCACATCTCTGCCCCGGGCCTCACATCTCTGCCCCGGGCCTCACATCTCTGCCCCGGGCCTCAATACCTACCATAACCAACAAACACCACCTAACATTATCTACCACAGAAACATAACATAATCCTAAACAGCACCTAAGTAAGTTTGATGCATTTTTTGTGAACATTTCTAGACATTACTACGGTACGGGGAATCTTTATCGCACCTGCAATTCGTAGTGGCACCTGTGCAAGGTCCACGGGGGGGAGGGGCGGGAGAGAGAGGAGGACGAGAGGAGAAGAGGAAATGCGGGTCAGGGGAGGTGCTATGAGGGGCAGGGCAGGGGGGTGATGATAGCAGCAAGCACTGCAATAAGAGCCGCAGCATAAGCAAGCAAAGCTCATTCCCCCCCACCTCCATGCGCATTTCCCCCCTGCACCGCACACCACCCCACCCCACCCAACACACTCACCATGTCGTGGCCGGCAGTTGGTGAGCTCGATGGAGGTGGCGACTCCCTCCCCCGCCATCTCCCTGACATGGCGGAACGGACGGCACGAGCAAACGGGGCAAAGCATGGGCAAAGGGGGCAACGCATGAGCAGAGGGGGAAAGGCATGGGCAGGGAGAACGGCATGAGCAGAGGGGGAAAGGCATGGGCAGGGAGAACGGCATGAGCAGAGGGGGAAAGGCATGCGCAAGGCGGGAATGCATGGGAAAGGCGGAAAGGCATGCGCAAGGCGGAAAGGCATGCGCAAGGCGGAAAGGCATGCGCAAGGCGGAAAGGCATGGGGAAGGCGGAAAGGCATGGGGAAGGCGGAAATGCATGGGCAAGGCGGAAAGGCAGGGGAAAGGCGGACATGCATGCGCAAGGCGGAAAGGCATGGGAAAAGGGGGGAACGGCGCGCTGACCTGCTCCGCGTGCAGCATGCTCGCCGGTGCTGTCCGCGCGGCCAGCAGCGCGCGCGGCGCTACCTGGTGAGCGCGGTGGGCGCCGTCACGGCGGGTGGAGCGGCGGCGGGTAGGCGCTGCTACGCTGGAGCCTGTCGTCCCTGCACAGCAAGGGGAGGGAGGGGCAGAGGGAGAGCGGAGGAAGGGACGGAGGGAGAGAGCAACGAGAAACCAAGAAAGGCAAGAGGGGTTGAGGACTGAAGTGAACTGTTTGGAAAGAATGCTCACGTAGGAGAGAAATGGGAAACATAACGGGAATTCCAGGGAGAAAACAGATAAAGAGGACAAAACGAAATAAAGTAATAAAACAGTAGAACAAAACGGATTTTGCATGGCGCATGGCACACATGCAGTCGCATGGCGCACATGCAATCGCGTGCTCATGAAATTTCAGCGTGCGCACATGCAGTGACAGTGCGCACCTGCTGGAGGGAGGAATAAGGGCCCTCCCACAGTGCGGGAGGGATCCGCCGCCTATGTTGAATCCCATGGGGGAAGGAATTCGAAGTCTAACGTGGGGAAGGCATTTAAGACCACTGATCGAGATGGGAGAGAAGGAATGGAGATCGGGAGAGCGGAAAAACGGAGACTAACGTGGGAGACGAAATTAGGAGATGAGCTGCGACCGATATGGGAGAGAATGAGTGGATCGGGGAGAGCGGAGCTATGGAAAGTAACGTGGAAAATAATGGAGTTGAGATCGAAATGGGATGGGGATGGGATTGGGAGAGAAGCAAGGAAGGAGGAGTGGAGGAGATCGGGAGAGGAGTTGGAGAGGAGAGCAAGCAAGCAGATTTTGTTGACTCTCGCCACTGTAGCGCGAAATGACCAGCACCCTCGCCTCGGTCACCAAAACAGAAACGAATTGCAACTCTTCATACAAAAAAGGAACACTCCTCACCCTGGAACATGTAAACCTAAAACGAAAATAAGAGTGTACACCTAGAATCCACCTGCCCTGCACCAAAAAAACGATGGTGGGGACCAAATCTCAGAATTCACACACATTGCAAACCAAGTCGCGGAGCACAACACAAGCCTCCAATCCAAATCAAGTCGCTAAACACAAGTCGCGAAACATCCCACCGGTCCAATCAAACAGCACAAGCCATGCCAGCTAGCGCGGTCTGGGAAGTGACAGAAACGAGACTCGGATGATGTACAATCCAATATACAGTCATTGGTGCAGCGCTGGCGCGCTGCGCGATCCGCCTGGTGCCTGCAAACTTACTTTCTTATCAATCTATTCCCATGTACATGGGAATAGATTGATAAGAATGTAAGTTTGCATTTTCCTGGTTTATGTTTTCCTTCACGATGCATGCATTGTTATAAGCAAATATTCCAGAAAACAAGTGGGCTGACCCTGGTGTTGGTTGGTACATCTGCAGCAAAATCTTAGGCTAGCTAGTTCCTAGCTACCTATTTTTTAGCTATCTATTTGCTAGCTACCTAATTCCTGGCTAGTTATAGCCTGGCCTTGCCAATTCCTAGCTAGCCAATTTCTGGCCTGCCAACTCCTTGCTAACTCCTAGCCAATTCCTAGCTTGCTATTTCCTAGCTAGTAGCTAGTTAATTCCTAGCCAGCCAAATCATAGCTGGTAACTAGTTCCTAGCCAGCCACATCCTAGCAAGCTAATCCCTAGCTAGCTGCCGTAATTCCTAGTCAACCAAATCCTAACTACCGTAGCTAATTTGTAGATAGTTTACTACTCCTGGCTAACCTACGAGAAAGGGGCATCTGCGAGGGCGTGTTCCGGCTTCGTCTGTACGCGGTAAACACGATTGGATGTATCAGGGATGTGTCAGGAAGATGCTTCCTTGTGTCACACTCATTGTGGAGTTGATGAAAAGACTGACGTTGCAGATAATGACACCATCTCAAATCGACACGCAACAGGGCCTGGCCTGCAATCGTGCCAACCAAGCGATGGCCCGATACAAACACAGAGACTCAAAAGCTTGAAGCAATCTAATTCAGTAACGCACCACTCCATGCGCTTGACATTGATGTCATTCAACACAGAAACCTTGGTCGTCACGATGCAAGTGTGTAACACTCTATCATGCAGTTGCTTGAACCTAGTTTCACATCAACACGAAGCCACAAGGTACTTTATACGATACCTTGTGCACACCGATGCTGCTCTACTCTAAATATCCAGCCTCAGCATTCACCTAGGAGGCGGAATCCCTCCACCACCCGCACTGATATCATCCAGCTCAATCGTCCTATACTTCTGCGAAACCAGCTCCGCCTGCACCTTCCTGGCTGTATCGGTAGCGCATCCGACTAAAATGAGGATGGACGTTCCAGCAAACCCCCGGAAGGCCGTGAGGTGAGTGATTCCTTCCACAAGAGCCGGCGCTGCTGCCATCGTGCCGAGAAACGCCGACCCGAGCACCGAAATGCGGGTGAGGACCTGGTGTTAAGTAGTTAAAGAAGCAAGAGTAATGGGGAGAAAGGGAGAAGGGGATGGGAGGGGGAAGGAGAAGCCAAAGAGGGAAAGGAAACACGAGTGGGGAAAGGGCTGAGAGGGAGCCGGCCAGGAGTCATCATGGAGTGTTTGCGAGGCCAAACGGAGCTTGGTGATGAGCATGGCTGCTGCCTTGCCAGGCCTGGTGTAGGCCACAGACGCGCCCTGCCTCTTGAGAAAGTGGGCCGTATGCCGGATTTACGAACGTACAATGAGTGAACAAGGGCGACTCACCTTGGTGATGAGTGCGGCTGTTGCTTTGCCGGGCCTCGTGTTGGGTACGGACGCACCCTGCCTCTTGAGCTGGTCGCTGACATCAGCAGGGTCGAGTTGCAGGAAGGTGTAGAAGTAGTTGAAGAAGGCAATGAGTGCCACGTTGGCGGGGAGGTAGAAGAAACCTGGGGATTAGCGGAACACATGGGGAGAGAGGATGTTGATTGAAGATGCAAGGAGAAAGAAAGGAGAAGGAGCGAGTAAGTGAGTTGCAGGAAGGTGTAGAAGTAGTTGAGAAAGGCGAACAGTGCCACGTTAGCAGGCAGATAGAAGAAACCTGGAGATTAGCGGAACACATGGGGAGAGAGGATGTTGATTGAAGATGCAAGGAGAAAGAAAGGAGAAGGAGCGAGTAAGTGAGTTGCAGGAAGGTGTGGAAGTAGTTGAGAAAGGCGAACAGTGCCACGTTAGCAGGCAGATAGAAGAAACCTGGAGATTAGCGGAACACATGGGGAGAGAGGATGTTGATTGAAGATGCAAGGAGAAAGAAAGGAGAAGGAGCGAGTAAGTGAGTTGCAGGAAGGTGTGGAAGTAGTTGAAGAATGCAATCAGTGCCACGTTGGCGGGGAGGTAGAAGAAACCTGGGGATGAGTGGAGCAGGGAAATCAAAGGGAGTGGAGGAGGGAGAGGGAGCAGGGAGAGGAGTGAGTGAGTTGCAGGAAGGTGTAGAAGTAGTTGAAGAATGCGATGAGTGCCACGTTGGCAGGCGGGTAGAGGAGACCTGGGGATTAGTGGAACACATGGTGGTAAAAAGAGTGAGAGGATGACGGAAAAGCAGAGTGATAAATTTGCAGTAAGGTGTAGAAGTAGTTGAAGAAAGCGATCAGTGCCACGTTGGCAGGCAGATAGATCGGTAAAGCGAGCTATGGAGTAGGGAGCAGGAGCAGTCTGGTTACCCTATTACTGACCTGTGGTTACCATGTAACATACCTCCAGGGTAGAGAGCTGTAGCAGCGGACTGGAAAGCAGCACTTCCGGTAAAGCGAGCGATGGAGTAGGGAGCAGCGAGGAGCGAGGAAGAGAAGATAATTGGCATGACTCCCGTTGAGTTGACCTGCAGAGGGGGGAAGAGGAAGAGACGGGTAGAGGGTAGATGAGAAAGATGTTGATCCGAGAGGGTGGAACATAAGAAAGACAAAGGAGAGAGGAGGAGAAGACGATTGGCATGACTTTCGTTGAGTTGACCTGCGGGGGGGATTAGAGGTTGGATAAGAGAAAAGAGGTGGTTGTGAGAGAGGGGTGGTTGGAGAGAATGGGTAGATGAGAGAGAAAGGAACGGCAGATAATTGAGAAGAGAGGAGTAAACGTGAGGCATGGCTTCTGTTGAGTTGAGTGTGGGGGTTGGTGGGGGGGGGGGGGGGAAGGGTGAGTGAGTGAGGGGTCGATGCAAGAAAAAGAAAGCGGTGTGTTACATTCGCGGGAGAGATGCTACCTTCGAGGGGGAGGTGTTACCTTCCAGGGGGAGGTGCTGCCTTTCAGGGGGAGGTGTAACCTTCCAGAGGGAGGTGCTGCCTTTCAGGGGGAGGTGTTGCCTTTCAGGGGGAGGTGTTACCTTGAATGGCAGGTACGCATTCCGCGTCTTGATGTTGTACCGAGACGCATAGTTGATTGGAATACGCCGCTCTGCCTCCTGCTCGGTGGAAGGGATTAAGTTGTGGTGGTGGTGGGGGTGGTGGGGGTGGTAGGGGGAGTGGGAAGAACGGAGAAAAGAGGACGGGGAATTTGAATTGGTTGTATCGAGACACATAGTTGACGGGAATACGCCGCTCTGCTTCCTGCTTGGAGGGAAAGGGGTAGTGGATAGGGTAGAGGGTGGGAGGGGAAGGGGAGGAGAGGGTAGAAAGAGAGTAGAGGGTGAGATGGTGCATGGGGTTGGTTGTACCGTTATGCGTAGTTGATGGGGATGTGACACTCTGCCTCCTACTCGGAGGGAAGGGGGAAGTTGGAGCTGGTTGTAGCGGCACATAGTTGTTGGGAATGCGACTCCCCGCCTTCTGCTCAGAAGGCTGGCAGGCAGGCCGGCAGAGAGGCATAGAGCAGGAACCCACCTGCACCCATTCACACCCACCTGCACGTAGACAATCCCAAGGACGAGCAGCAGGAAGGAGGCCAGCAGCAGCGCCTCGCCGGTAACGTTCCCCTGCTCAGACGCCTCTGTGATGCAGGTAGGCAGGCAGGAGGAATATAGCACACCCATCCACACCCATCTGTACCGCACCCACCTGCACGTAGACGATGCCGAACACGAGCAGCAGGAAGGACGCGAGCAGCAGCGCCTCTCCGGTCACATTCCCTTGTTCAGAAGCCTCTGTGATCGTCCTCCCAATGGACGCCGGCAGGTAGGAAACGATATTGGTGAAGATGAGCAGAGAGGTGCCGTTGCCGAGCTTGAGATCAGTGATCTTGTCTCCCAGCAGGATGACTGCCACGGATCCCAAAGTGAGGCCCGAGACGGCGGAGACTGCCCAGGCGACCGACGGGTCGTAGGCGTACTGCTGTAGATATGCCACCTGTCCGATAGCCTGGGAGGAGGGCGAGAGGCAGGGAGGAAGGGAGAGCTTGAGGTGGGTGATCCTGTCTCCCAGGAGGATGACTGCCACGGATCCGACAGTCAGGCCTGAGACGGCTGAGACTGCCCAGGCGACCGAGGGGTCGTAGGCGTACTGCTGCAGATATGCCACCTGTCCGATTGCCTGGGAGGAGGGCGAGAGGCAGGGAGGAAGGGAGAGCTTGAGGTGGGTGATCCTGTCTCCCAGGAGGATGACTGCCACGGATCCGACAGTCAGGCCTGAGACGGCTGAGACTGCCCAAGCGACTGATGGGTCGTATGCGTACTGCTGCAGGTAGGCCACTTGGCCGATAGCCTGGGGAGTGGAGGGGGGCAGGGAGAAGGAGAGCTTGAGGTGGGTCGGTGATCTTGTCTCCCCGCAGTGGGGCGACTGAGGGGTCGTATGCGTACAACTGGAGGTAGGCCACTTGGCCTATGGCCTGGGGAGTGGAGGGGGAAGAATAGGGTGGGAAGCGGTGGGGTTGGGTTGAGGAGGGGCGACTGAGTGGTCGTATGCGTACTGCTGGAGGTAGGCCACTTGGCCGATAGCCTGTTGGCAGTGGAGGGGGGCAGGGAGAAGGAGAGCTTGAGGTGGGTCGGTGATCTTGTCTCCCCGCACGATGACTGCTACGGACCCGAGGCGCTCGTAATCTAGTAAAGACAAGAAGAATGTAATGAAATCAGGTAACGTACCTGCAGGGCACCGAACGCCACAGCCATATACTTCATGTACTGCTGCGCTTTCTTCCTCCCCGCCTCCCCCTCCTTCTTCTGCAGATCCCCAATCTTAGGGTACAGCGTCCCCAGCAGCTGGAACACGATCTGAGCGTTGATATACGGCACGATGCCCAGCGAAAACAATCCCAGCCGTCCAATCCCGCCCCCTGAGAGCGTGTCTAGGGTGGCCAGGAATGAGCCCTCCCCCAGTTGCTCCTGGAAGGCGGAGATATCGACGCCCCACAGGGGAATGTAGATTCCCACGCGGGATAGCGCGAGCAGACCCAGGAGCATGAGGAATTTCTTGGGTAAATCGCCCTTGAAAAAGTCGCCGATGTCGATCTTGCTGTCCTCCACTGGAAAGGTGGTGCGGGTCAGGTCAGGGGAGAGGTGGAAACGGGAGGCAGAGGGGGGAGAAAGAGGAGGGAGAACAAGGCAGAGAAAGGCAGAGAGATATAGTGGGAAGGCGGGGAGGAGGGATGAGGGAGAGATTGAAGCAGGGGAGGAAAAAAGGAAGAGGGAATTCGGTTTAGTCTTTTTTTTTTCCCTCGCCCCCCCAAGTCCCCCAAGTCCCCCCCCCCCTCCCCCCCACCCGGGGGGGGATGGAGGGTGGGGGAGAGGGGACAGGGGGGACGGGAGGGTGGGAGGAAAGGAATAACATTCTGATGTATGTATTGAAATAATATCACAATCAAGAATCACGGAATATTCTCTCAAATTCAAGCTAGAATCAGCCAACCAGGCTTTGTGACTGTGACTGTAATGAAGGTGGCTGTAATGAAGGCGACTCGACCCGGGGGTTACTGCAATGAAGGCGACTCGACTCGGGGGTGACTGCAATGAAGGCGACTCGACTCGGGGGTGACTGCAATGAAGGCGACTCGACTCGGGGGTGACTGCAATGAAGGCGACTCGACTCGGGGGTGACTGTAATGAATGCGACTCGACCCGGGATTGACTGTAATGAAGGCGACTCGACTCGCGGTCGGCGTGACTATAACCAAGTTCAGGGCGGCATGGCCAGCCTCCTGTCAAGAGAGCATGCCACGTCAGCACTTGTTGCCACGTCAGCAGGACCTGGGTTGAGGTAGGGCCTGGGTCCGGTTCGGGTATGGGCTGCCTCACGTCTCTGCCCCGGGCCTCACGTCTCTGCCCCGGGCCTCACATCTCTGCCCCGGGCCTCACGTCTCTGCCCCGGGCCTCACATCTCTGCCCCGGGCCTCACGTCTCTGCCCCGGGCCTCACGTCTCTGCCCCGGGCCTCACATCTCTGCCCCGGGCCTCACATCTCTGCCCCGGGCCTCACATCTCTGCCCCGGGCCTCACATCTCTGCCCCGGGCCTCAATACCTACCATAACCAACAAACACCACCTAACATTATCTACCACAGAAACATAACATAATCCTAAACAGCACCTAAGTAAGTTTGATGCATTTTTTGTGAACATTTCTAGACATTACTACGGTACGGGGAATCTTTATCGCACCTGCAATTCGTAGTGGCACCTGTGCAAGGTCCACGGGGGGGAGGGGCGGGAGAGAGAGGAGGACGAGAGGAGAAGAGGAAATGCGGGTCAGGGGAGGTGCTATGAGGGGCAGGGCAGGGGGGTGATGATAGCAGCAAGCACTGCAATAAGAGCCGCAGCATAAGCAAGCAAAGCTCATTCCCCCCCACCTCCATGCGCATTTCCCCCCTGCACCGCACACCACCCCACCCCACCCAACACACTCACCATGTCGTGGCCGGCAGTTGGTGAGCTCGATGGAGGTGGCGACTCCCTCCCCCGCCATCTCCCTGACATGGCGGAACGGACGGCACGAGCAAACGGGGCAAAGCATGGGCAAAGGGGGCAACGCATGAGCAGAGGGGGAAAGGCATGGGCAGGGAGAACGGCATGAGCAGAGGGGGAAAGGCATGGGCAGGGAGAACGGCATGAGCAGAGGGGGAAAGGCATGCGCAAGGCGGGAATGCATGGGAAAGGCGGAAAGGCATGCGCAAGGCGGAAAGGCATGCGCAAGGCGGAAAGGCATGCGCAAGGCGGAAAGGCATGGGGAAGGCGGAAAGGCATGGGGAAGGCGGAAATGCATGGGCAAGGCGGAAAGGCAGGGGAAAGGCGGACATGCATGCGCAAGGCGGAAAGGCATGGGAAAAGGGGGGAACGGCGCGCTGACCTGCTCCGCGTGCAGCATGCTCGCCGGTGCTGTCCGCGCGGCCAGCAGCGCGCGCGGCGCTACCTGGTGAGCGCGGTGGGCGCCGTCACGGCGGGTGGAGCGGCGGCGGGTAGGCGCTGCTACGCTGGAGCCTGTCGTCCCTGCACAGCAAGGGGAGGGAGGGGCAGAGGGAGAGCGGAGGAAGGGACGGAGGGAGAGAGCAACGAGAAACCAAGAAAGGCAAGAGGGGTTGAGGACTGAAGTGAACTGTTTGGAAAGAATGCTCACGTAGGAGAGAAATGGGAAACATAACGGGAATTCCAGGGAGAAAACAGATAAAGAGGACAAAACGAAATAAAGTAATAAAACAGTAGAACAAAACGGATTTTGCATGGCGCATGGCACACATGCAGTCGCATGGCGCACATGCAATCGCGTGCTCATGAAATTTCAGCGTGCGCACATGCAGTGACAGTGCGCACCTGCTGGAGGGAGGAATAAGGGCCCTCCCACAGTGCGGGAGGGATCCGCCGCCTATGTTGAATCCCATGGGGGAAGGAATTCGAAGTCTAACGTGGGGAAGGCATTTAAGACCACTGATCGAGATGGGAGAGAAGGAATGGAGATCGGGAGAGCGGAAAAACGGAGACTAACGTGGGAGACGAAATTAGGAGATGAGCTGCGACCGATATGGGAGAGAATGAGTGGATCGGGGAGAGCGGAGCTATGGAAAGTAACGTGGAAAATAATGGAGTTGAGATCGAAATGGGATGGGGATGGGATTGGGAGAGAAGCAAGGAAGGAGGAGTGGAGGAGATCGGGAGAGGAGTTGGAGAGGAGAGCAAGCAAGCAGATTTTGTTGACTCTCGCCACTGTAGCGCGAAATGACCAGCACCCTCGCCTCGGTCACCAAAACAGAAACGAATTGCAACTCTTCATACAAAAAAGGAACACTCCTCACCCTGGAACATGTAAACCTAAAACGAAAATAAGAGTGTACACCTAGAATCCACCTGCCCTGCACCAAAAAAACGATGGTGGGGACCAAATCTCAGAATTCACACACATTGCAAACCAAGTCGCGGAGCACAACACAAGCCTCCAATCCAAATCAAGTCGCTAAACACAAGTCGCGAAACATCCCACCGGTCCAATCAAACAGCACAAGCCATGCCAGCTAGCGCGGTCTGGGAAGTGACAGAAACGAGACTCGGATGATGTACAATCCAATATACAGTCATTGGTGCAGCGCTGGCGCGCTGCGCGATCCGCCTGGTGCCTGCAAACTTACTTTCTTATCAATCTATTCCCATGTACATGGGAATAGATTGATAAGAATGTAAGTTTGCATTTTCCTGGTTTATGTTTTCCTTCACGATGCATGCATTGTTATAAGCAAATATTCCAGAAAACAAGTGGGCTGACCCTGGTGTTGGTTGGTACATCTGCAGCAAAATCTTAGGCTAGCTAGTTCCTAGCTACCTATTTTTTAGCTATCTATTTGCTAGCTACCTAATTCCTGGCTAGTTATAGCCTGGCCTTGCCAATTCCTAGCTAGCCAATTTCTGGCCTGCCAACTCCTTGCTAACTCCTAGCCAATTCCTAGCTTGCTATTTCCTAGCTAGTAGCTAGTTAATTCCTAGCCAGCCAAATCATAGCTGGTAACTAGTTCCTAGCCAGCCACATCCTAGCAAGCTAATCCCTAGCTAGCTGCCGTAATTCCTAGTCAACCAAATCCTAACTACCGTAGCTAATTTGTAGATAGTTTACTACTCCTGGCTAACCTACGAGAAAGGGGCATCTGCGAGGGCGTGTTCCGGCTTCGTCTGTACGCGGTAAACACGATTGGATGTATCAGGGATGTGTCAGGAAGATGCTTCCTTGTGTCACACTCATTGTGGAGTTGATGAAAAGACTGACGTTGCAGATAATGACACCATCTCAAATCGACACGCAACAGGGCCTGGCCTGCAATCGTGCCAACCAAGCGATGGCCCGATACAAACACAGAGACTCAAAAGCTTGAAGCAATCTAATTCAGTAACGCACCACTCCATGCGCTTGACATTGATGTCATTCAACACAGAAACCTTGGTCGTCACGATGCAAGTGTGTAACACTCTATCATGCAGTTGCTTGAACCTAGTTTCACATCAACACGAAGCCACAAGGTACTTTATACGATACCTTGTGCACACCGATGCTGCTCTACTCTAAATATCCAGCCTCAGCATTCACCTAGGAGGCGGAATCCCTCCACCACCCGCACTGATATCATCCAGCTCAATCGTCCTATACTTCTGCGAAACCAGCTCCGCCTGCACCTTCCTGGCTGTATCGGTAGCGCATCCGACTAAAATGAGGATGGACGTTCCAGCAAACCCCCGGAAGGCCGTGAGGTGAGTGATTCCTTCCACAAGAGCCGGCGCTGCTGCCATCGTGCCGAGAAACGCCGACCCGAGCACCGAAATGCGGGTGAGGACCTGGTGTTAAGTAGTTAAAGAAGCAAGAGTAATGGGGAGAAAGGGAGAAGGGGATGGGAGGGGGAAGGAGAAGCCAAAGAGGGAAAGGAAACACGAGTGGGGAAAGGGCTGAGAGGGAGCCGGCCAGGAGTCATCATGGAGTGTTTGCGAGGCCAAACGGAGCTTGGTGATGAGCATGGCTGCTGCCTTGCCAGGCCTGGTGTAGGCCACAGACGCGCCCTGCCTCTTGAGAAAGTGGGCCGTATGCCGGATTTACGAACGTACAATGAGTGAACAAGGGCGACTCACCTTGGTGATGAGTGCGGCTGTTGCTTTGCCGGGCCTCGTGTTGGGTACGGACGCACCCTGCCTCTTGAGCTGGTCGCTGACATCAGCAGGGTCGAGTTGCAGGAAGGTGTAGAAGTAGTTGAAGAAGGCAATGAGTGCCACGTTGGCGGGGAGGTAGAAGAAACCTGGGGATTAGCGGAACACATGGGGAGAGAGGATGTTGATTGAAGATGCAAGGAGAAAGAAAGGAGAAGGAGCGAGTAAGTGAGTTGCAGGAAGGTGTAGAAGTAGTTGAGAAAGGCGAACAGTGCCACGTTAGCAGGCAGATAGAAGAAACCTGGAGATTAGCGGAACACATGGGGAGAGAGGATGTTGATTGAAGATGCAAGGAGAAAGAAAGGAGAAGGAGCGAGTAAGTGAGTTGCAGGAAGGTGTGGAAGTAGTTGAGAAAGGCGAACAGTGCCACGTTAGCAGGCAGATAGAAGAAACCTGGAGATTAGCGGAACACATGGGGAGAGAGGATGTTGATTGAAGATGCAAGGAGAAAGAAAGGAGAAGGAGCGAGTAAGTGAGTTGCAGGAAGGTGTGGAAGTAGTTGAAGAATGCAATCAGTGCCACGTTGGCGGGGAGGTAGAAGAAACCTGGGGATGAGTGGAGCAGGGAAATCAAAGGGAGTGGAGGAGGGAGAGGGAGCAGGGAGAGGAGTGAGTGAGTTGCAGGAAGGTGTAGAAGTAGTTGAAGAATGCGATGAGTGCCACGTTGGCAGGCGGGTAGAGGAGACCTGGGGATTAGTGGAACACATGGTGGTAAAAAGAGTGAGAGGATGACGGAAAAGCAGAGTGATAAATTTGCAGTAAGGTGTAGAAGTAGTTGAAGAAAGCGATCAGTGCCACGTTGGCAGGCAGATAGATCGGTAAAGCGAGCTATGGAGTAGGGAGCAGGAGCAGTCTGGTTACCCTATTACTGACCTGTGGTTACCATGTAACATACCTCCAGGGTAGAGAGCTGTAGCAGCGGACTGGAAAGCAGCACTTCCGGTAAAGCGAGCGATGGAGTAGGGAGCAGCGAGGAGCGAGGAAGAGAAGATAATTGGCATGACTCCCGTTGAGTTGACCTGCAGAGGGGGGAAGAGGAAGAGACGGGTAGAGGGTAGATGAGAAAGATGTTGATCCGAGAGGGTGGAACATAAGAAAGACAAAGGAGAGAGGAGGAGAAGACGATTGGCATGACTTTCGTTGAGTTGACCTGCGGGGGGGATTAGAGGTTGGATAAGAGAAAAGAGGTGGTTGTGAGAGAGGGGTGGTTGGAGAGAATGGGTAGATGAGAGAGAAAGGAACGGCAGATAATTGAGAAGAGAGGAGTAAACGTGAGGCATGGCTTCTGTTGAGTTGAGTGTGGGGGTTGGTGGGGGGGGGGGGGGGAAGGGTGAGTGAGTGAGGGGTCGATGCAAGAAAAAGAAAGCGGTGTGTTACATTCGCGGGAGAGATGCTACCTTCGAGGGGGAGGTGTTACCTTCCAGGGGGAGGTGCTGCCTTTCAGGGGGAGGTGTAACCTTCCAGAGGGAGGTGCTGCCTTTCAGGGGGAGGTGTTGCCTTTCAGGGGGAGGTGTTACCTTGAATGGCAGGTACGCATTCCGCGTCTTGATGTTGTACCGAGACGCATAGTTGATTGGAATACGCCGCTCTGCCTCCTGCTCGGTGGAAGGGATTAAGTTGTGGTGGTGGTGGGGGTGGTGGGGGTGGTAGGGGGAGTGGGAAGAACGGAGAAAAGAGGACGGGGAATTTGAATTGGTTGTATCGAGACACATAGTTGACGGGAATACGCCGCTCTGCTTCCTGCTTGGAGGGAAAGGGGTAGTGGATAGGGTAGAGGGTGGGAGGGGAAGGGGAGGAGAGGGTAGAAAGAGAGTAGAGGGTGAGATGGTGCATGGGGTTGGTTGTACCGTTATGCGTAGTTGATGGGGATGTGACACTCTGCCTCCTACTCGGAGGGAAGGGGGAAGTTGGAGCTGGTTGTAGCGGCACATAGTTGTTGGGAATGCGACTCCCCGCCTTCTGCTCAGAAGGCTGGCAGGCAGGCCGGCAGAGAGGCATAGAGCAGGAACCCACCTGCACCCATTCACACCCACCTGCACGTAGACAATCCCAAGGACGAGCAGCAGGAAGGAGGCCAGCAGCAGCGCCTCGCCGGTAACGTTCCCCTGCTCAGACGCCTCTGTGATGCAGGTAGGCAGGCAGGAGGAATATAGCACACCCATCCACACCCATCTGTACCGCACCCACCTGCACGTAGACGATGCCGAACACGAGCAGCAGGAAGGACGCGAGCAGCAGCGCCTCTCCGGTCACATTCCCTTGTTCAGAAGCCTCTGTGATCGTCCTCCCAATGGACGCCGGCAGGTAGGAAACGATATTGGTGAAGATGAGCAGAGAGGTGCCGTTGCCGAGCTTGAGATCAGTGATCTTGTCTCCCAGCAGGATGACTGCCACGGATCCCAAAGTGAGGCCCGAGACGGCGGAGACTGCCCAGGCGACCGACGGGTCGTAGGCGTACTGCTGTAGATATGCCACCTGTCCGATAGCCTGGGAGGAGGGCGAGAGGCAGGGAGGAAGGGAGAGCTTGAGGTGGGTGATCCTGTCTCCCAGGAGGATGACTGCCACGGATCCGACAGTCAGGCCTGAGACGGCTGAGACTGCCCAGGCGACCGAGGGGTCGTAGGCGTACTGCTGCAGATATGCCACCTGTCCGATTGCCTGGGAGGAGGGCGAGAGGCAGGGAGGAAGGGAGAGCTTGAGGTGGGTGATCCTGTCTCCCAGGAGGATGACTGCCACGGATCCGACAGTCAGGCCTGAGACGGCTGAGACTGCCCAAGCGACTGATGGGTCGTATGCGTACTGCTGCAGGTAGGCCACTTGGCCGATAGCCTGGGGAGTGGAGGGGGGCAGGGAGAAGGAGAGCTTGAGGTGGGTCGGTGATCTTGTCTCCCCGCAGTGGGGCGACTGAGGGGTCGTATGCGTACAACTGGAGGTAGGCCACTTGGCCTATGGCCTGGGGAGTGGAGGGGGAAGAATAGGGTGGGAAGCGGTGGGGTTGGGTTGAGGAGGGGCGACTGAGTGGTCGTATGCGTACTGCTGGAGGTAGGCCACTTGGCCGATAGCCTGTTGGCAGTGGAGGGGGGCAGGGAGAAGGAGAGCTTGAGGTGGGTCGGTGATCTTGTCTCCCCGCACGATGACTGCTACGGACCCGAGGCGCTCGTAATCTAGTAAAGACAAGAAGAATGTAATGAAATCAGGTAACGTACCTGCAGGGCACCGAACGCCACAGCCATATACTTCATGTACTGCTGCGCTTTCTTCCTCCCCGCCTCCCCCTCCTTCTTCTGCAGATCCCCAATCTTAGGGTACAGCGTCCCCAGCAGCTGGAACACGATCTGAGCGTTGATATACGGCACGATGCCCAGCGAAAACAATCCCAGCCGTCCAATCCCGCCCCCTGAGAGCGTGTCTAGGGTGGCCAGGAATGAGCCCTCCCCCAGTTGCTCCTGGAAGGCGGAGATATCGACGCCCCACAGGGGAATGTAGATTCCCACGCGGGATAGCGCGAGCAGACCCAGGAGCATGAGGAATTTCTTGGGTAAATCGCCCTTGAAAAAGTCGCCGATGTCGATCTTGCTGTCCTCCACTGGAAAGGTGGTGCGGGTCAGGTCAGGGGAGAGGTGGAAACGGGAGGCAGAGGGGGGAGAAAGAGGAGGGAGAACAAGGCAGAGAAAGGCAGAGAGATATAGTGGGAAGGCGGGGAGGAGGGATGAGGGAGAGATTGAAGCAGGGGAGGAAAAAAGGAAGAGGGAATTCGGTTTAGTCTTTTTTTTTTCCCTCGCCCCCCCAAGTCCCCCAAGTCCCCCCCCCCCTCCCCCCCACCCGGGGGGGGATGGAGGGTGGGGGAGAGGGGACAGGGGGGACGGGAGGGTGGGAGGAAAGGAATAACATTCTGATGTATGTATTGAAATAATATCACAATCAAGAATCACGGAATATTCTCTCAAATTCAAGCTAGAATCAGCCAACCAGGCTTTGTGACTGTGACTGTAATGAAGGTGGCTGTAATGAAGGCGACTCGACCCGGGGGTTACTGCAATGAAGGCGACTCGACTCGGGGGTGACTGCAATGAAGGCGACTCGACTCGGGGGTGACTGCAATGAAGGCGACTCGACTCGGGGGTGACTGCAATGAAGGCGACTCGACTCGGGGGTGACTGTAATGAATGCGACTCGACCCGGGATTGACTGTAATGAAGGCGACTCGACTCGCGGTCGGCGTGACTATAACCAAGTTCAGGGCGGCATGGCCAGCCTCCTGTCAAGAGAGCATGCCACGTCAGCACTTGTTGCCACGTCAGCAGGACCTGGGTTGAGGTAGGGCCTGGGTCCGGTTCGGGTATGGGCTGCCTCACGTCTCTGCCCCGGGCCTCACGTCTCTGCCCCGGGCCTCACATCTCTGCCCCGGGCCTCACGTCTCTGCCCCGGGCCTCACATCTCTGCCCCGGGCCTCACGTCTCTGCCCCGGGCCTCACGTCTCTGCCCCGGGCCTCACATCTCTGCCCCGGGCCTCACATCTCTGCCCCGGGCCTCACATCTCTGCCCCGGGCCTCACATCTCTGCCCCGGGCCTCAATACCTACCATAACCAACAAACACCACCTAACATTATCTACCACAGAAACATAACATAATCCTAAACAGCACCTAAGTAAGTTTGATGCATTTTTTGTGAACATTTCTAGACATTACTACGGTACGGGGAATCTTTATCGCACCTGCAATTCGTAGTGGCACCTGTGCAAGGTCCACGGGGGGGAGGGGCGGGAGAGAGAGGAGGACGAGAGGAGAAGAGGAAATGCGGGTCAGGGGAGGTGCTATGAGGGGCAGGGCAGGGGGGTGATGATAGCAGCAAGCACTGCAATAAGAGCCGCAGCATAAGCAAGCAAAGCTCATTCCCCCCCACCTCCATGCGCATTTCCCCCCTGCACCGCACACCACCCCACCCCACCCAACACACTCACCATGTCGTGGCCGGCAGTTGGTGAGCTCGATGGAGGTGGCGACTCCCTCCCCCGCCATCTCCCTGACATGGCGGAACGGACGGCACGAGCAAACGGGGCAAAGCATGGGCAAAGGGGGCAACGCATGAGCAGAGGGGGAAAGGCATGGGCAGGGAGAACGGCATGAGCAGAGGGGGAAAGGCATGGGCAGGGAGAACGGCATGAGCAGAGGGGGAAAGGCATGCGCAAGGCGGGAATGCATGGGAAAGGCGGAAAGGCATGCGCAAGGCGGAAAGGCATGCGCAAGGCGGAAAGGCATGCGCAAGGCGGAAAGGCATGGGGAAGGCGGAAAGGCATGGGGAAGGCGGAAATGCATGGGCAAGGCGGAAAGGCAGGGGAAAGGCGGACATGCATGCGCAAGGCGGAAAGGCATGGGAAAAGGGGGGAACGGCGCGCTGACCTGCTCCGCGTGCAGCATGCTCGCCGGTGCTGTCCGCGCGGCCAGCAGCGCGCGCGGCGCTACCTGGTGAGCGCGGTGGGCGCCGTCACGGCGGGTGGAGCGGCGGCGGGTAGGCGCTGCTACGCTGGAGCCTGTCGTCCCTGCACAGCAAGGGGAGGGAGGGGCAGAGGGAGAGCGGAGGAAGGGACGGAGGGAGAGAGCAACGAGAAACCAAGAAAGGCAAGAGGGGTTGAGGACTGAAGTGAACTGTTTGGAAAGAATGCTCACGTAGGAGAGAAATGGGAAACATAACGGGAATTCCAGGGAGAAAACAGATAAAGAGGACAAAACGAAATAAAGTAATAAAACAGTAGAACAAAACGGATTTTGCATGGCGCATGGCACACATGCAGTCGCATGGCGCACATGCAATCGCGTGCTCATGAAATTTCAGCGTGCGCACATGCAGTGACAGTGCGCACCTGCTGGAGGGAGGAATAAGGGCCCTCCCACAGTGCGGGAGGGATCCGCCGCCTATGTTGAATCCCATGGGGGAAGGAATTCGAAGTCTAACGTGGGGAAGGCATTTAAGACCACTGATCGAGATGGGAGAGAAGGAATGGAGATCGGGAGAGCGGAAAAACGGAGACTAACGTGGGAGACGAAATTAGGAGATGAGCTGCGACCGATATGGGAGAGAATGAGTGGATCGGGGAGAGCGGAGCTATGGAAAGTAACGTGGAAAATAATGGAGTTGAGATCGAAATGGGATGGGGATGGGATTGGGAGAGAAGCAAGGAAGGAGGAGTGGAGGAGATCGGGAGAGGAGTTGGAGAGGAGAGCAAGCAAGCAGATTTTGTTGACTCTCGCCACTGTAGCGCGAAATGACCAGCACCCTCGCCTCGGTCACCAAAACAGAAACGAATTGCAACTCTTCATACAAAAAAGGAACACTCCTCACCCTGGAACATGTAAACCTAAAACGAAAATAAGAGTGTACACCTAGAATCCACCTGCCCTGCACCAAAAAAACGATGGTGGGGACCAAATCTCAGAATTCACACACATTGCAAACCAAGTCGCGGAGCACAACACAAGCCTCCAATCCAAATCAAGTCGCTAAACACAAGTCGCGAAACATCCCACCGGTCCAATCAAACAGCACAAGCCATGCCAGCTAGCGCGGTCTGGGAAGTGACAGAAACGAGACTCGGATGATGTACAATCCAATATACAGTCATTGGTGCAGCGCTGGCGCGCTGCGCGATCCGCCTGGTGCCTGCAAACTTACTTTCTTATCAATCTATTCCCATGTACATGGGAATAGATTGATAAGAATGTAAGTTTGCATTTTCCTGGTTTATGTTTTCCTTCACGATGCATGCATTGTTATAAGCAAATATTCCAGAAAACAAGTGGGCTGACCCTGGTGTTGGTTGGTACATCTGCAGCAAAATCTTAGGCTAGCTAGTTCCTAGCTACCTATTTTTTAGCTATCTATTTGCTAGCTACCTAATTCCTGGCTAGTTATAGCCTGGCCTTGCCAATTCCTAGCTAGCCAATTTCTGGCCTGCCAACTCCTTGCTAACTCCTAGCCAATTCCTAGCTTGCTATTTCCTAGCTAGTAGCTAGTTAATTCCTAGCCAGCCAAATCATAGCTGGTAACTAGTTCCTAGCCAGCCACATCCTAGCAAGCTAATCCCTAGCTAGCTGCCGTAATTCCTAGTCAACCAAATCCTAACTACCGTAGCTAATTTGTAGATAGTTTACTACTCCTGGCTAACCTACGAGAAAGGGGCATCTGCGAGGGCGTGTTCCGGCTTCGTCTGTACGCGGTAAACACGATTGGATGTATCAGGGATGTGTCAGGAAGATGCTTCCTTGTGTCACACTCATTGTGGAGTTGATGAAAAGACTGACGTTGCAGATAATGACACCATCTCAAATCGACACGCAACAGGGCCTGGCCTGCAATCGTGCCAACCAAGCGATGGCCCGATACAAACACAGAGACTCAAAAGCTTGAAGCAATCTAATTCAGTAACGCACCACTCCATGCGCTTGACATTGATGTCATTCAACACAGAAACCTTGGTCGTCACGATGCAAGTGTGTAACACTCTATCATGCAGTTGCTTGAACCTAGTTTCACATCAACACGAAGCCACAAGGTACTTTATACGATACCTTGTGCACACCGATGCTGCTCTACTCTAAATATCCAAGCCTCAGCATTCACCTAGGAGGCGGAATCCCTCCACCACCCGCACTGATATCATCCAGCTCAATCGTCCTATACTTCTGCGAAACCAGCTCCGCCTGCACCTTCCTGGCTGTATCGGTAGCGCATCCGACTAAAATGAGGATGGACGTTCCAGCAAACCCCCGGAAGGCCGTGAGGTGAGTGATTCCTTCCACAAGAGCCGGCGCTGCTGCCATCGTGCCGAGAAACGCCGACCCGAGCACCGAAATGCGGGTGAGGACCTGGTGTTAAGTAGTTAAAGAAGCAAGAGTAATGGGGAGAAAGGGAGAAGGGGATGGGAGGGGGAAGGAGAAGCCAAAGAGGGAAAGGAAACACGAGTGGGGAAAGGGCTGAGAGGGAGCCGGCCAGGAGTCATCATGGAGTGTTTGCGAGGCCAAACGGAGCTTGGTGATGAGCATGGCTGCTGCCTTGCCAGGCCTGGTGTAGGCCACAGACGCGCCCTGCCTCTTGAGAAAGTGGGCCGTATGCCGGATTTACGAACGTACAATGAGTGAACAAGGGCGACTCACCTTGGTGATGAGTGCGGCTGTTGCTTTGCCGGGCCTCGTGTTGGGTACGGACGCACCCTGCCTCTTGAGCTGGTCGCTGACATCAGCAGGGTCGAGTTGCAGGAAGGTGTAGAAGTAGTTGAAGAAGGCAATGAGTGCCACGTTGGCGGGGAGGTAGAAGAAACCTGGGGATTAGCGGAACACATGGGGAGAGAGGATGTTGATTGAAGATGCAAGGAGAAAGAAAGGAGAAGGAGCGAGTAAGTGAGTTGCAGGAAGGTGTAGAAGTAGTTGAGAAAGGCGAACAGTGCCACGTTAGCAGGCAGATAGAAGAAACCTGGAGATTAGCGGAACACATGGGGAGAGAGGATGTTGATTGAAGATGCAAGGAGAAAGAAAGGAGAAGGAGCGAGTAAGTGAGTTGCAGGAAGGTGTGGAAGTAGTTGAGAAAGGCGAACAGTGCCACGTTAGCAGGCAGATAGAAGAAACCTGGAGATTAGCGGAACACATGGGGAGAGAGGATGTTGATTGAAGATGCAAGGAGAAAGAAAGGAGAAGGAGCGAGTAAGTGAGTTGCAGGAAGGTGTGGAAGTAGTTGAAGAATGCAATCAGTGCCACGTTGGCGGGGAGGTAGAAGAAACCTGGGGATGAGTGGAGCAGGGAAATCAAAGGGAGTGGAGGAGGGAGAGGGAGCAGGGAGAGGAGTGAGTGAGTTGCAGGAAGGTGTAGAAGTAGTTGAAGAATGCGATGAGTGCCACGTTGGCAGGCGGGTAGAGGAGACCTGGGGATTAGTGGAACACATGGTGGTAAAAAGAGTGAGAGGATGACGGAAAAGCAGAGTGATAAATTTGCAGTAAGGTGTAGAAGTAGTTGAAGAAAGCGATCAGTGCCACGTTGGCAGGCAGATAGATCGGTAAAGCGAGCTATGGAGTAGGGAGCAGGAGCAGTCTGGTTACCCTATTACTGACCTGTGGTTACCATGTAACATACCTCCAGGGTAGAGAGCTGTAGCAGCGGACTGGAAAGCAGCACTTCCGGTAAAGCGAGCGATGGAGTAGGGAGCAGCGAGGAGCGAGGAAGAGAAGATAATTGGCATGACTCCCGTTGAGTTGACCTGCAGAGGGGGGAAGAGGAAGAGACGGGTAGAGGGTAGATGAGAAAGATGTTGATCCGAGAGGGTGGAACATAAGAAAGACAAAGGAGAGAGGAGGAGAAGACGATTGGCATGACTTTCGTTGAGTTGACCTGCGGGGGGGATTAGAGGTTGGATAAGAGAAAAGAGGTGGTTGTGAGAGAGGGGTGGTTGGAGAGAATGGGTAGATGAGAGAGAAAGGAACGGCAGATAATTGAGAAGAGAGGAGTAAACGTGAGGCATGGCTTCTGTTGAGTTGAGTGTGGGGGTTGGTGGGGGGGGGGGGGGGAAGGGTGAGTGAGTGAGGGGTCGATGCAAGAAAAAGAAAGCGGTGTGTTACATTCGCGGGAGAGATGCTACCTTCGAGGGGGAGGTGTTACCTTCCAGGGGGAGGTGCTGCCTTTCAGGGGGAGGTGTAACCTTCCAGAGGGAGGTGCTGCCTTTCAGGGGGAGGTGTTGCCTTTCAGGGGGAGGTGTTACCTTGAATGGCAGGTACGCATTCCGCGTCTTGATGTTGTACCGAGACGCATAGTTGATTGGAATACGCCGCTCTGCCTCCTGCTCGGTGGAAGGGATTAAGTTGTGGTGGTGGTGGGGGTGGTGGGGGTGGTAGGGGGAGTGGGAAGAACGGAGAAAAGAGGACGGGGAATTTGAATTGGTTGTATCGAGACACATAGTTGACGGGAATACGCCGCTCTGCTTCCTGCTTGGAGGGAAAGGGGTAGTGGATAGGGTAGAGGGTGGGAGGGGAAGGGGAGGAGAGGGTAGAAAGAGAGTAGAGGGTGAGATGGTGCATGGGGTTGGTTGTACCGTTATGCGTAGTTGATGGGGATGTGACACTCTGCCTCCTACTCGGAGGGAAGGGGGAAGTTGGAGCTGGTTGTAGCGGCACATAGTTGTTGGGAATGCGACTCCCCGCCTTCTGCTCAGAAGGCTGGCAGGCAGGCCGGCAGAGAGGCATAGAGCAGGAACCCACCTGCACCCATTCACACCCACCTGCACGTAGACAATCCCAAGGACGAGCAGCAGGAAGGAGGCCAGCAGCAGCGCCTCGCCGGTAACGTTCCCCTGCTCAGACGCCTCTGTGATGCAGGTAGGCAGGCAGGAGGAATATAGCACACCCATCCACACCCATCTGTACCGCACCCACCTGCACGTAGACGATGCCGAACACGAGCAGCAGGAAGGACGCGAGCAGCAGCGCCTCTCCGGTCACATTCCCTTGTTCAGAAGCCTCTGTGATCGTCCTCCCAATGGACGCCGGCAGGTAGGAAACGATATTGGTGAAGATGAGCAGAGAGGTGCCGTTGCCGAGCTTGAGATCAGTGATCTTGTCTCCCAGCAGGATGACTGCCACGGATCCCAAAGTGAGGCCCGAGACGGCGGAGACTGCCCAGGCGACCGACGGGTCGTAGGCGTACTGCTGTAGATATGCCACCTGTCCGATAGCCTGGGAGGAGGGCGAGAGGCAGGGAGGAAGGGAGAGCTTGAGGTGGGTGATCCTGTCTCCCAGGAGGATGACTGCCACGGATCCGACAGTCAGGCCTGAGACGGCTGAGACTGCCCAGGCGACCGAGGGGTCGTAGGCGTACTGCTGCAGATATGCCACCTGTCCGATTGCCTGGGAGGAGGGCGAGAGGCAGGGAGGAAGGGAGAGCTTGAGGTGGGTGATCCTGTCTCCCAGGAGGATGACTGCCACGGATCCGACAGTCAGGCCTGAGACGGCTGAGACTGCCCAAGCGACTGATGGGTCGTATGCGTACTGCTGCAGGTAGGCCACTTGGCCGATAGCCTGGGGAGTGGAGGGGGGCAGGGAGAAGGAGAGCTTGAGGTGGGTCGGTGATCTTGTCTCCCCGCAGTGGGGCGACTGAGGGGTCGTATGCGTACAACTGGAGGTAGGCCACTTGGCCTATGGCCTGGGGAGTGGAGGGGGAAGAATAGGGTGGGAAGCGGTGGGGTTGGGTTGAGGAGGGGCGACTGAGTGGTCGTATGCGTACTGCTGGAGGTAGGCCACTTGGCCGATAGCCTGTTGGCAGTGGAGGGGGGCAGGGAGAAGGAGAGCTTGAGGTGGGTCGGTGATCTTGTCTCCCCGCACGATGACTGCTACGGACCCGAGGCGCTCGTAATCTAGTAAAGACAAGAAGAATGTAATGAAATCAGGTAACGTACCTGCAGGGCACCGAACGCCACAGCCATATACTTCATGTACTGCTGCGCTTTCTTCCTCCCCGCCTCCCCCTCCTTCTTCTGCAGATCCCCAATCTTAGGGTACAGCGTCCCCAGCAGCTGGAACACGATCTGAGCGTTGATATACGGCACGATGCCCAGCGAAAACAATCCCAGCCGTCCAATCCCGCCCCCTGAGAGCGTGTCTAGGGTGGCCAGGAATGAGCCCTCCCCCAGTTGCTCCTGGAAGGCGGAGATATCGACGCCCCACAGGGGAATGTAGATTCCCACGCGGGATAGCGCGAGCAGACCCAGGAGCATGAGGAATTTCTTGGGTAAATCGCCCTTGAAAAAGTCGCCGATGTCGATCTTGCTGTCCTCCACTGGAAAGGTGGTGCGGGTCAGGTCAGGGGAGAGGTGGAAACGGGAGGCAGAGGGGGGAGAAAGAGGAGGGAGAACAAGGCAGAGAAAGGCAGAGAGATATAGTGGGAAGGCGGGGAGGAGGGATGAGGGAGAGATTGAAGCAGGGGAGGAAAAAAGGAAGAGGGAATTCGGTTTAGTCTTTTTTTTTTTCCCTCGCCCCCCCAAGTCCCCCAAGTCCCCCCCCCCCTCCCCCCCACCCGGGGGGGGATGGAGGGTGGGGGAGAGGGGACAGGGGGGACGGGAGGGTGGGAGGAAAGGAATAACATTCTGATGTATGTATTGAAATAATATCACAATCAAGAATCACGGAATATTCTCTCAAATTCAAGCTAGAATCAGCCAACCAGGCTTTGTGACTGTGACTGTAATGAAGGTGGCTGTAATGAAGGCGACTCGACCCGGGGGTTACTGCAATGAAGGCGACTCGACTCGGGGGTGACTGCAATGAAGGCGACTCGACTCGGGGGTGACTGCAATGAAGGCGACTCGACTCGGGGGTGACTGCAATGAAGGCGACTCGACTCGGGGGTGACTGTAATGAATGCGACTCGACCCGGGATTGACTGTAATGAAGGCGACTCGACTCGCGGTCGGCGTGACTATAACCAAGTTCAGGGCGGCATGGCCAGCCTCCTGTCAAGAGAGCATGCCACGTCAGCACTTGTTGCCACGTCAGCAGGACCTGGGTTGAGGTAGGGCCTGGGTCCGGTTCGGGTATGGGCTGCCTCACGTCTCTGCCCCGGGCCTCACGTCTCTGCCCCGGGCCTCACATCTCTGCCCCGGGCCTCACGTCTCTGCCCCGGGCCTCACATCTCTGCCCCGGGCCTCACGTCTCTGCCCCGGGCCTCACGTCTCTGCCCCGGGCCTCACATCTCTGCCCCGGGCCTCACATCTCTGCCCCGGGCCTCACATCTCTGCCCCGGGCCTCACATCTCTGCCCCGGGCCTCAATACCTACCATAACCAACAAACACCACCTAACATTATCTACCACAGAAACATAACATAATCCTAAACAGCACCTAAGTAAGTTTGATGCATTTTTTGTGAACATTTCTAGACATTACTACGGTACGGGGAATCTTTATCGCACCTGCAATTCGTAGTGGCACCTGTGCAAGGTCCACGGGGGGGAGGGGCGGGAGAGAGAGGAGGACGAGAGGAGAAGAGGAAATGCGGGTCAGGGGAGGTGCTATGAGGGGCAGGGCAGGGGGGTGATGATAGCAGCAAGCACTGCAATAAGAGCCGCAGCATAAGCAAGCAAAGCTCATTCCCCCCCACCTCCATGCGCATTTCCCCCCTGCACCGCACACCACCCCACCCCACCCAACACACTCACCATGTCGTGGCCGGCAGTTGGTGAGCTCGATGGAGGTGGCGACTCCCTCCCCCGCCATCTCCCTGACATGGCGGAACGGACGGCACGAGCAAACGGGGCAAAGCATGGGCAAAGGGGGCAACGCATGAGCAGAGGGGGAAAGGCATGGGCAGGGAGAACGGCATGAGCAGAGGGGGAAAGGCATGGGCAGGGAGAACGGCATGAGCAGAGGGGGAAAGGCATGCGCAAGGCGGGAATGCATGGGAAAGGCGGAAAGGCATGCGCAAGGCGGAAAGGCATGCGCAAGGCGGAAAGGCATGCGCAAGGCGGAAAGGCATGGGGAAGGCGGAAAGGCATGGGGAAGGCGGAAATGCATGGGCAAGGCGGAAAGGCAGGGGAAAGGCGGACATGCATGCGCAAGGCGGAAAGGCATGGGAAAAGGGGGGAACGGCGCGCTGACCTGCTCCGCGTGCAGCATGCTCGCCGGTGCTGTCCGCGCGGCCAGCAGCGCGCGCGGCGCTACCTGGTGAGCGCGGTGGGCGCCGTCACGGCGGGTGGAGCGGCGGCGGGTAGGCGCTGCTACGCTGGAGCCTGTCGTCCCTGCACAGCAAGGGGAGGGAGGGGCAGAGGGAGAGCGGAGGAAGGGACGGAGGGAGAGAGCAACGAGAAACCAAGAAAGGCAAGAGGGGTTGAGGACTGAAGTGAACTGTTTGGAAAGAATGCTCACGTAGGAGAGAAATGGGAAACATAACGGGAATTCCAGGGAGAAAACAGATAAAGAGGACAAAACGAAATAAAGTAATAAAACAGTAGAACAAAACGGATTTTGCATGGCGCATGGCACACATGCAGTCGCATGGCGCACATGCAATCGCGTGCTCATGAAATTTCAGCGTGCGCACATGCAGTGACAGTGCGCACCTGCTGGAGGGAGGAATAAGGGCCCTCCCACAGTGCGGGAGGGATCCGCCGCCTATGTTGAATCCCATGGGGGAAGGAATTCGAAGTCTAACGTGGGGAAGGCATTTAAGACCACTGATCGAGATGGGAGAGAAGGAATGGAGATCGGGAGAGCGGAAAAACGGAGACTAACGTGGGAGACGAAATTAGGAGATGAGCTGCGACCGATATGGGAGAGAATGAGTGGATCGGGGAGAGCGGAGCTATGGAAAGTAACGTGGAAAATAATGGAGTTGAGATCGAAATGGGATGGGGATGGGATTGGGAGAGAAGCAAGGAAGGAGGAGTGGAGGAGATCGGGAGAGGAGTTGGAGAGGAGAGCAAGCAAGCAGATTTTGTTGACTCTCGCCACTGTAGCGCGAAATGACCAGCACCCTCGCCTCGGTCACCAAAACAGAAACGAATTGCAACTCTTCATACAAAAAAGGAACACTCCTCACCCTGGAACATGTAAACCTAAAACGAAAATAAGAGTGTACACCTAGAATCCACCTGCCCTGCACCAAAAAAACGATGGTGGGGACCAAATCTCAGAATTCACACACATTGCAAACCAAGTCGCGGAGCACAACACAAGCCTCCAATCCAAATCAAGTCGCTAAACACAAGTCGCGAAACATCCCACCGGTCCAATCAAACAGCACAAGCCATGCCAGCTAGCGCGGTCTGGGAAGTGACAGAAACGAGACTCGGATGATGTACAATCCAATATACAGTCATTGGTGCAGCGCTGGCGCGCTGCGCGATCCGCCTGGTGCCTGCAAACTTACTTTCTTATCAATCTATTCCCATGTACATGGGAATAGATTGATAAGAATGTAAGTTTGCATTTTCCTGGTTTATGTTTTCCTTCACGATGCATGCATTGTTATAAGCAAATATTCCAGAAAACAAGTGGGCTGACCCTGGTGTTGGTTGGTACATCTGCAGCAAAATCTTAGGCTAGCTAGTTCCTAGCTACCTATTTTTTAGCTATCTATTTGCTAGCTACCTAATTCCTGGCTAGTTATAGCCTGGCCTTGCCAATTCCTAGCTAGCCAATTTCTGGCCTGCCAACTCCTTGCTAACTCCTAGCCAATTCCTAGCTTGCTATTTCCTAGCTAGTAGCTAGTTAATTCCTAGCCAGCCAAATCATAGCTGGTAACTAGTTCCTAGCCAGCCACATCCTAGCAAGCTAATCCCTAGCTAGCTGCCGTAATTCCTAGTCAACCAAATCCTAACTACCGTAGCTAATTTGTAGATAGTTTACTACTCCTGGCTAACCTACGAGAAAGGGGCATCTGCGAGGGCGTGTTCCGGCTTCGTCTGTACGCGGTAAACACGATTGGATGTATCAGGGATGTGTCAGGAAGATGCTTCCTTGTGTCACACTCATTGTGGAGTTGATGAAAAGACTGACGTTGCAGATAATGACACCATCTCAAATCGACACGCAACAGGGCCTGGCCTGCAATCGTGCCAACCAAGCGATGGCCCGATACAAACACAGAGACTCAAAAGCTTGAAGCAATCTAATTCAGTAACGCACCACTCCATGCGCTTGACATTGATGTCATTCAACACAGAAACCTTGGTCGTCACGATGCAAGTGTGTAACACTCTATCATGCAGTTGCTTGAACCTAGTTTCACATCAACACGAAGCCACAAGGTACTTTATACGATACCTTGTGCACACCGATGCTGCTCTACTCTAAATATCCAGCCTCAGCATTCACCTAGGAGGCGGAATCCCTCCACCACCCGCACTGATATCATCCAGCTCAATCGTCCTATACTTCTGCGAAACCAGCTCCGCCTGCACCTTCCTGGCTGTATCGGTAGCGCATCCGACTAAAATGAGGATGGACGTTCCAGCAAACCCCCGGAAGGCCGTGAGGTGAGTGATTCCTTCCACAAGAGCCGGCGCTGCTGCCATCGTGCCGAGAAACGCCGACCCGAGCACCGAAATGCGGGTGAGGACCTGGTGTTAAGTAGTTAAAGAAGCAAGAGTAATGGGGAGAAAGGGAGAAGGGGATGGGAGGGGGAAGGAGAAGCCAAAGAGGGAAAGGAAACACGAGTGGGGAAAGGGCTGAGAGGGAGCCGGCCAGGAGTCATCATGGAGTGTTTGCGAGGCCAAACGGAGCTTGGTGATGAGCATGGCTGCTGCCTTGCCAGGCCTGGTGTAGGCCACAGACGCGCCCTGCCTCTTGAGAAAGTGGGCCGTATGCCGGATTTACGAACGTACAATGAGTGAACAAGGGCGACTCACCTTGGTGATGAGTGCGGCTGTTGCTTTGCCGGGCCTCGTGTTGGGTACGGACGCACCCTGCCTCTTGAGCTGGTCGCTGACATCAGCAGGGTCGAGTTGCAGGAAGGTGTAGAAGTAGTTGAAGAAGGCAATGAGTGCCACGTTGGCGGGGAGGTAGAAGAAACCTGGGGATTAGCGGAACACATGGGGAGAGAGGATGTTGATTGAAGATGCAAGGAGAAAGAAAGGAGAAGGAGCGAGTAAGTGAGTTGCAGGAAGGTGTAGAAGTAGTTGAGAAAGGCGAACAGTGCCACGTTAGCAGGCAGATAGAAGAAACCTGGAGATTAGCGGAACACATGGGGAGAGAGGATGTTGATTGAAGATGCAAGGAGAAAGAAAGGAGAAGGAGCGAGTAAGTGAGTTGCAGGAAGGTGTGGAAGTAGTTGAGAAAGGCGAACAGTGCCACGTTAGCAGGCAGATAGAAGAAACCTGGAGATTAGCGGAACACATGGGGAGAGAGGATGTTGATTGAAGATGCAAGGAGAAAGAAAGGAGAAGGAGCGAGTAAGTGAGTTGCAGGAAGGTGTGGAAGTAGTTGAAGAATGCAATCAGTGCCACGTTGGCGGGGAGGTAGAAGAAACCTGGGGATGAGTGGAGCAGGGAAATCAAAGGGAGTGGAGGAGGGAGAGGGAGCAGGGAGAGGAGTGAGTGAGTTGCAGGAAGGTGTAGAAGTAGTTGAAGAATGCGATGAGTGCCACGTTGGCAGGCGGGTAGAGGAGACCTGGGGATTAGTGGAACACATGGTGGTAAAAAGAGTGAGAGGATGACGGAAAAGCAGAGTGATAAATTTGCAGTAAGGTGTAGAAGTAGTTGAAGAAAGCGATCAGTGCCACGTTGGCAGGCAGATAGATCGGTAAAGCGAGCTATGGAGTAGGGAGCAGGAGCAGTCTGGTTACCCTATTACTGACCTGTGGTTACCATGTAACATACCTCCAGGGTAGAGAGCTGTAGCAGCGGACTGGAAAGCAGCACTTCCGGTAAAGCGAGCGATGGAGTAGGGAGCAGCGAGGAGCGAGGAAGAGAAGATAATTGGCATGACTCCCGTTGAGTTGACCTGCAGAGGGGGGAAGAGGAAGAGACGGGTAGAGGGTAGATGAGAAAGATGTTGATCCGAGAGGGTGGAACATAAGAAAGACAAAGGAGAGAGGAGGAGAAGACGATTGGCATGACTTTCGTTGAGTTGACCTGCGGGGGGGATTAGAGGTTGGATAAGAGAAAAGAGGTGGTTGTGAGAGAGGGGTGGTTGGAGAGAATGGGTAGATGAGAGAGAAAGGAACGGCAGATAATTGAGAAGAGAGGAGTAAACGTGAGGCATGGCTTCTGTTGAGTTGAGTGTGGGGGTTGGTGGGGGGGGGGGGGGGAAGGGTGAGTGAGTGAGGGGTCGATGCAAGAAAAAGAAAGCGGTGTGTTACATTCGCGGGAGAGATGCTACCTTCGAGGGGGAGGTGTTACCTTCCAGGGGGAGGTGCTGCCTTTCAGGGGGAGGTGTAACCTTCCAGAGGGAGGTGCTGCCTTTCAGGGGGAGGTGTTGCCTTTCAGGGGGAGGTGTTACCTTGAATGGCAGGTACGCATTCCGCGTCTTGATGTTGTACCGAGACGCATAGTTGATTGGAATACGCCGCTCCTGCCTCCTGCTCGGTGGAAGGGATTAAGTTGTGGTGGTGGTGGGGGTGGTGGGGTGGTAGGGGGAGTGGGAAGAACGGAGAAAAGAGGACGGGGAATTTGAATTGGTTGTATCGAGAACACATAGTTGACGGGAATACGCCGCTCTGCTTCCTGCTTGGAGGGAAAGGGGTAGTGGATAGGGTAGAGGGTGGGAGGGGAAGGGGAGGAGAGGGTAGAAAGAGAGTAGAGGGTGAGATGGTGCATGGGGTTGGTTGTACCGTTATGCGTAGTTGATGGGGATGTGACACTCTGCCTCCTACTCGGAGGGAAGGGGGGATTGGAGCTGGTTGTAGCGGCACATAAGTTGTATGGTGAATGCGACTGCCCCGCCTTATGCTCAAAGGCTGGCAGGAGCCGGCAGAGAGGCATAAGCAGGAACCCACCTGCACCCATTCCCACCCACCTTGCACGTAGACAATCAAGGACTGATCAGCGAGGAGGCCAGCACAGCGCCTCGACGGTAACTTCCCCTGGCTCAGAACGCCTCTGTGATGCAGTAGGCAGGCCGGAGGAATATTAGCACACGCCTCCACACCCATCTGTAACCGCAACCCACCTGCACGTAGCGATGCCGAACACGAGCAGCAGGAAGGACGCGAGCAGCAGCGCCTCTCCGGTCACATTCCCTTGTTCAGAAGCCTCTGTGATCGTCCTCCCAATGGACGCCGGCAGGTAGGAAACGATATTGGTGAAGATGAGCAGAGAGGTGCCGTTGCCGAGCTTGAGATCAGTGATCTTGTCTCCCAGCAGGATGACTGCCACGGATCCCAAAGTGAGGGCCCGAGACGGCGGAGACTGCCCAGGCGACCGACGGGTCGTAGGCGTACTGCTGTAGATATGCCACCTGTCCGATAGCCTGGGAGGAGGGCGAGAGGCAGGGAGGAAGGGAGAGCTTGAGGTGGGTGATCCTGTCTCCCAGGAGGATGACTGCCACGGATCCGACAGTCAGGCCTGAGACGGCGGCTGAGACTGCCCAGGCGACCGAGGGGTCGTAGGCGTACTGCTGCAGATATGCCACCTGTCCGATTGCCTGGGAGGAGGGCGAGAGGCAGGGAGGAAGGGAGAGCTTGAGGTGGGTGCATCCTGTCTCCCAGGAGGATGACCTGCACACGGATCCGCACAGTCAGGCATGCAGACGGCTGGAGACTGCCCAAGCGACTGATGGGGTCGCTATGCGTACTGCTGCAGGTAGGCCACTTGGCCGATAGCCCTGGGGATTGGAGGGGGGGCAGGGGAGAAGGAGAGCGTGAGGTGGGTCGGGGGGGGAGGTGTGGCTCTTGTCTCCTACCTCTCCCGCAGTGGTGGCGACTGAGGGGGCCGTATGCGTACAACTGGGATGGTAGGGCCACTTGGCCTATTGGCCTGGGGGAGTGGAGGGGGAAGAATAGGGTGGGATAGGCGGTGGGGTTGGGTTGAGGAGGGGGCGACTCAGGTGAGTGGGTCGTAATGCGATACTGCTGGAGGTAGGCCACTTTGGCCGAATAGCACTGTTGGCAGTGGAGAGGGGGGCAGGGGAGAAGGAGATGCTTGAGGTGGGTCGGTGGATCTTTGTCTCCCCGCACGGATGACTGCTACGGACCCGAGGCGCTCGGTAATCTAGTAAAAGACAAGAAGGAATGTAATGAAAATCATCAGGTAACGTACCTGCAGGGCACCGAACGCCACAGCCACCTATACTTCATGTACTGCTGCGCTTTCTTCCTCCCCGCCTCCCCCTCCTTCTTCTGCAGATCCCCAATCTTAGGGTACAGCGTCCCCAGCAGCTGGAACACGATCTGAGCGTTGATATACGGCACGATGCCCAGCGAAAACAATCCCAGCCGTCCAATCCCGCCCCTGAGAGCGTGTCTAGGGTGGCCAGGAATGAGCCCTCCCCCAGTTGCTCCTGGAAGGCGGAGATATCGACGCCCCACAGGGGAATGTAGATTCCCACGCGGGATAGCGCGAGCAGACCCAGGAGCATGAGGAATTTCTTGGGTAAATCGCCCTTGAAAAAGTCGCCGATGTCGATCTTGCTGTCCTCCACTGGAAAGGTGGTGCGGGTCAGGTCAGGGGAGAGGTGGAAACGGGAGGCAGAGGGGGGAGAAAGAGGAGGGAGAACAAGGCAGAGAAAGGCAGAGAGATATAGTGGGAAGGCGGGGAGGAGGGATGAGGGAGAGATTGAAGCAGGGGAGGAAAAAAGGAAGAGGGAATTCGGTTTAGTCTTTTTTTTTTCCTCGCCCCCCCAAGTCCCCCAAGTCCCCCCCCCCTCCCCCCAACCGGGGGGGGATGGAGGGTGGGGGAGAGGGGACAGGGGGGACGGGAGGTGGGAGGAAAGGAATAACATTCTGATGTATGTATTGAAATAATATCACAATCAAGAATCACGGAATATTCTCTCAAATTCAAGCTAGAATCAGCCAACCAGGCTTTGTGACTGTGACTGTAATGAAGGTGGCTGTAATGAAGGCGACTCGACCGGGGGTTACTGCAATGAAGGCGACTCGACTCGGGGGTGACTGCAATGAAGGCGACTCGACTCGGGGGTGACTGCAATGAAGGCGACTCGACTCGGGGGGACTGTAATGAATGCGACTCGACCCGGGATTGACTGTAATGAAGGCGACTCGACTCGCGGTCGGCGTGACTATAACCAAG